TTGGATTTATCATGTATAACATGCCTCAAGTCATATCTTCAACGCAATCGGACGAACTGATAATGCTCTGCATCACCTTTTTGCGCAATTCCGAATACATCAAAAACCCATATTTGAAAGCATCTTTGGTTACAATCCTCTTTCGAGGAACATGGTCATGGCGTCAAGGCGGAAGAGGTATACTCGCAGACCAATACAACAGCATGCCGTTCGCGACAGAGCACTTGCTGCACTCATTGATGAAGTTCTTTATAGAGGCGGAGTTCATGGGCGGGCACGGCCAGTTTTTCGACAAATTCAACGTACGCTTCGAGATTTTCCAGATCATCAAGTGCATTTGGCCGAACACAGTCTACCGTGACAATCTGCTGAGGGAAGCAAAAGTCAACATGGAGTTCTTTGTAAGGTTTGTCAACCTTCTCTTGAATGACGTGACGTTCGTCTTGGACGAATCGTTCACGGCGTTCCATACGATTTATGACCTCTCGAAAGAACTCGCGCTTGCTGGAACATCGCTCGACCAGCAGCAACGACAGGACAAGGAGGAAGCTTTGGAGGCGGCAAAGAACAAAGCGAAATCATACATGCAACTGACCAATGAGACGGTGGCAATGTTGAAGCTATTCACAGAAGCCCTGGCGGACGCATTCACAATGCCCGAGATCGTCCAACGTCTTGCGGATATGTTGGACTATAATCTTGATGCGATGGTTGGACCGAAATCCACGACCCTCAAAGTCGAGAACTTACAGGAATATAATTTCAACCCCAAGGCTTTGCTGAGCGAGATCATCGACGTCTATCTAAATTTGAGCGAACGGGAAAACTTCATCCTCGCTGTTGCACGCGACGGTCGATCATACAAGCCCGAAAACTTTGTCAACGCCGGCAACGTCATGCGCAAATTTGTTCTCAAGTCACCAGAAGAGCTCAACCGGTGGCAACGACTTATCGAAAAATTTGCCAAGGCAAAGGAAGAGGATGAAGCTGCGGATGCGGACTTGGGAGAAATTCCCGACGAGTTCTTGGATCCGCTGATGTTCACACTCATGGAAGACCCTGTGAGGCTACCCGTATCAAAGATTGTTATTGACAGGAGCACAATCCGAAGCCACTTGTTAAGTGATCCTCACGATCCATTCAACAGAGTGCCGCTGAAGATCGAGGACGTCCTTCCAGGTCAGATTCCTTTCCAGAAACCCCTTAACGTGAAGATAAACCACAGTTGTTTCCCGCCGTTCACGATACTGACAATCGTTCACAGCGACCGATATCAAAGAGCAGATCCAGAAATTCAAGGAGGAACGGATTGGAAGTCGGCGCAAGGACTTTGTGGAGACGGTCAAGACCGAAGCTGGCGGCACTGCCGACGGTGAGGCAATGGACCTGAGTTAGTCATCGCGACCTGTATCTTTGAGCGATAAAGGGAAACCTTCGATGGCTTGTGACTCTTGGATGAGTCGTCAGCCAAGGCAGGTGTCGATGCATAAGCCGCGAGTGATGCGATAGATCGAATTATGAAAGCTGGCATCAACCTTGTTGCATTCTTGGTCTATAACAGGTGTACAGTGATAGCTGCACAAGATAGCAGCGGGATATGAGGTGAAGCATGCAACAACACTTCTCATGGTAATACCCATGGACAGTTTAGAGTCGCTTACCTGGGCCGCCTCTACAATATGGTTGGGGGAGAATTCAAGACAGGACCAAATTAAAGGAGTATTTGGCAGAAGGTCATTTGTTGCAAATTATTGGCGTTGTCTAGTACAGAGATGCGTGCCGAACCTATTGGGTGATGGCTGAGCGGACGCCGTGTCAACTTCTTCTTGAAGTTGGCGGCATCCATAAGTAGATCAGTCGGTTGTTCATCAGGGGGTTCAGCCTCGTGCGCAAGAGAGGGAGGGACACACTTCCTGAAACGGTTAGTCCAGTTCCCGGCATACGGGCCCCCCACGTTCTTCCTTCCTCTTCCGTCTCTGATGTCGCCCCTTTATCGGTCGTGACTTGAACATATGCCGAAGTGAGACACGGTGCGAAACTGTGTCACATCTAGATCGTGTCTTCGCTGCGACTTGTCGCTGTCCTGCGGATGGGTCGACATGCACTAAAGGAGGGTGGCCCCCACAACCCAACCACCTGGCTGTCAAGTGTTTCTGGAGCCCGACACGAATACTCTCGCAGGACTTCCCTGGCGCCGCCAGACTAGGACAAACGCAGTTATACGATAGAGTCAGCCCGCTGAGAGAGAGCCGCAGAGCGCTGGAATATGTGTGTGTGACACTCCCCCTGAGCCTCTGACGAGGAAGCTCAAAGCGACTTGGCTTTTCTAGAGTGATTGGCCCACAATCCGCCTTTGACGACATTGCCATTTCAGCTCCCCCCGCTCCTCCCCCTCTTCTCGGGTCTCTTGACTCTTGATTCTTGTTCTGCAGATGAGGTTCGTACCAATAGGGCAGAAGTAGGATCCCAGTTGTATCCCTTCTTGCGCAGGAAGGCAGACTACTCCCAAATTTCAAATCGAGCTCCTCTACTTCAACGAGCACACCAGGCGCTTGTCGTTCTTGTTCGAGCTTGGGCAGTTGCTTGCGGCGTCACGGGGCACAATGATATGCAGTTACGTCGACGTTGTTGAGAATTGCACAGGGATTTGAGAACCTCGGGAATCGAGCCAGTGTCGTCCAAGATGGGATATCAGTGATGGTGGCTGTGGCTGTGGCTGTTGCTGCACTTTATCTTGGTCCTTGGTCCTTCACAGTGAGAGAGAGAGAGCCTTTGGACTCATGGGGCATGATAACGGGTCAAACAAAGAAGTGTCGGATGGAGTTCATGGTACCTCGAGGAGCAGTATTTTGATCCAAGTTTTCTGCAGGAGAGAATGCAAATACGGCTGACGCATATGACTGGCTTGGTTCCCAAGGCTTTTGGATTCCCTCAAAAGCTTTTACTCCCCGTTCCCTGATCCGATGAACCTACAAGCCCGACCTGATGACCCGCTGATATCAGCTTCGTGGACCAAAAACTGACCAACCATTCTTACCTCCCTGAGAATGGACTTTTGAAGCGGCCAACCACTTGATCAAAGCAAAGTAAAAGTATCGTCGTCTGATTCACCTTCTTTTCACCAAGGTCCCCACGATGTGCGGGATCGTGCTGTAGGGATCGCACAGCTCGACCTGGACTTTGTCCCAGCCGCCGTCTCGCCGGGCCGCTCTCTGCAGGCTGGCCAGAGTGTCCCTGGTCAATTCACAGCCTCCCATGAGGGAGCTCCAGCCGATCGACATGTAAAAGTTTTGGAGGGCACGACTGACCGCGGTGCCGCCCTTCGCCCCGTCGCCGGAATTGACCACGTGCTCGCAGACCACCATCCTGCCGCCGGGTTTGAGGACGCTGTAGAGCCCCTCGGTCACGGCGTCGAGGTTCGGCACCCCGCACAGCACCCGGACGCAGACTATCTCGTCGAACGGCGTGTTCTCCTGCCCGGCCCGGGTGTCGAGGACCCCGGCCTTTGCGAGTGCCGGGACCAGCGATTCCAGCTTCGCTTCGCAGTTCAGCACGTGGTACTTGTCCCCCAACCCGGCTTCTGCTGCGCGCTTTTTCAACGCGGCGTGCATGCTCACGCCCGGCTCCGCTCCGTAGATGGCTTCGATGGCCGCGGGTTCCGAAAAACGGAAGAGCTGGTGTCCAGCGCCGGGGCCCACGTCGAGGATGACACCTTTGCTCTGAGCAAGGATCGACCCGAGCGCTGCGGGCGTGTCTCTGGCGCAGATCACGCCGCCGATGGCCCAGACGCTGGCAAAGGCCTTTTCCTTGTACCGGGCGAAATTGCTGAACAGGAGGACTGGATGAAATATCGCTGTCTGAATATGGCCTTATGCAAAAAGTTCAGTCAGTGCACAAAATGACCCCAGGACAAGATTCTTCCTCCACATTGAGCGCGTCTTCTGGTTGTTAGAGGGCACATACACATGACGCTGGCGAGCACAAATGCTCCAGGCAGAGCGTAAGACACCACCCGTTGGATGATATTCGAAGACTCCATCTTGTTCGAGAATAGTCCCTGGCGATATCGCGTTAGCTGTCCCCTTGACGAATTCTCGTGGTGGAGAGGAGAATGAAAAGACAGGGAAGAAAATCGAGGGAATAAATGAATACGTTCAGGGCGCTGGGCGTCCTGGTTTGTTTGTCAGGCCAACAACCCGCCAGCCGTTCGTTCGTATTGATTCTCGAATCAGTCTCTGCTTCAGCTGTCATGTCACATGCCTTGAGTTGTCCCGAATACGAGGCTGCGCAGATCCCTGGCATTGCAGGGGTCCTTCCAAGGCATATTATTCGTACTTGTACAAGGAAATCGGCCCAGCCACGTGTCAACGGGTCAAGAGCCCAGACTTTCGTTTCTCTTTCGACCCTGGTGTTTGGGTCTTCGATTCTCGGATTCAGAGTCTAGACCTTGGAATGGCTGGTTTTACTCCTCTTCTGCCTCGGGCCCGCCATTGGGCGTCCGCACTGGATGCGTTGATGGACAAGTAATGTTCAATTTCCATGATTCTTGTTACAAAACTGACTTGCTCTCAGCTATCCCATGTCCCCCTCTGAGACATCCATGGGCTCTTGCACTGCAACTTTCCAGCACCCGTAATTGTGGAGCAGTATTTTGCCAGCTAGAGCATCCCTCTCTATTGGCAATAAGCACCACCTGCCGCTTCTCATCTCAGGCTCAAAGCCTCTTCTGTTATGCGCCGAGAGAGTCAGTCAGGGTCAGGGCTTTGCGCCACGGAAGAAATTTATACGTCTGTCACACTATCCCGACCACAATTAGATCCCTGTCGGAGCGCGATGCGATGCCCATGTCTAAAATACAGTCCCATCCACGCAGGCCGACTACATCCTTGACATTCGTCCAGCTGCTAAGCGCTGTCCGCCGTCGATTGGAATAACTGCGCCGTTTCTGTTGGTATAGATGAGTCAGTCGAATCGTCCCAAATCCAACATTTTCCTCCCACTTACATCCAAGAAGACGCCGGCGAGGACAAAAACACGGTGATGCCGGCAATGTCAGAGGACACACCGAGCCTCTTCCGGGGGTTCTCCCTCTCCAGCTGCTCAAGTCCTCCAAGAGACTGGATCAAGCCACTGGCAAGCTTCGAAGGGAAAAATCCAGGCGCCACCGAGTTGACGACAATGTTCCTCGGACCTAGTTCGACGGCGAGGTTCCTGGCGAGATGGTCCGCGGCCGCCTTGGAGGCTGAGTAGATAATTGTGCCATGTTCCCCGATATGAGGCACATGGGAGCCCGCCGTTGAGCTCACGATGATGACTCGAGCCGGGTCGATGTCGGTGCCGGCCCTCTGCAACAAAGGGGCGAAACTATCCGGCGTCAATGACTGGTTTTTCCTTGGAGAAGAGATGGAGTCGAGTGTGGATTATTCGTCCTTCCTTACTCACAGCCTTATCAAGTTGAAGACGCTCCTCACATTGAGGTCCAAAACCTTTGCGACACCTGCGTCCGGTGTGGTATCAAAAGGTCCACCCCACGCGGTGCCCGCATTTGCGACTAGGATATCGAGCTGAGGCTCGGTCGCTTTGACCTCGTCCAGCAATATTTGGATCTCGTCGGCCTTGGATATGTCCGCTGCGACAGCCACCGCGCGGCCCGTTGTGCCAGGGAGTTTGTTCAGTCGCTCAACCGCTTGGTCGAGGCCGTGTGGGCCATCTGACTTGCGAGCGGTCACAATAACCTTCCTTGCGCCTGCAAGGAGCAGGGCCGTCGCTGCGTGAAGCCCCAATCCCCGAGAACCTGAAGTGATCGAGGTGAGCGACCTGACTGGCCCAGGACGGTCGAAGCAGCTTACCACCAGTGACCAATGCGACCTTTCCGTCGAGGCGAAACAGATTCTGGAAATCCGGTATGCTGGACATGGTTTTTGAAGCGTGTCTGGATGTGCGGGCGCCCCTCGGATCTGCAATACACTATGGGTTCGCTGACATGGCCTATGTTCCAACCTGACTTATAGCGAGTTGGCTAGAATATGGATGATGAGGTCATACCCACCGGGACTGAAAGGTCCTATCTGTCGGACCTGGTGCGGTAAACGTCTCCCAGCTATAGGTAACTGTCGAGCGGCGTTAGATTTGGTCCATTGGCTCTCGCCGGAGGTGATATGAGTGTGCGTAAATCGTTACCCTTAGGGTCGCGATCGAAACGCCAATCCACTTTACGAGGGGGGTTCGGGGCCCCCAGAAAGCTTGTGAGTCGCCTTGCACGCCCGCGCGGAATAACTGGTGAAAGGGAATATAATTCGAGTAGATGCTCAACAAGGCAACTTGATGCATATGCTCGGTTGACTCTGTATGAATTTGCCCCTCCAGCTGAGATTTCTTTCCTGCGATCCCCAATGTCATCATTCGAAAATCTTCATGGGCGCCTGGCCAACGGAGGCGATCCTCCCAAGAGACCTCTCCGCATTGCGGGAGCCTCTGGAGGAGTCTTTGATCGGTTCCGATCGCTCCAAGATCTCTCTGCCGACCCCGAAATCGACGTCATCATCGGCGACTGGCTGGGAGAACTCAACATGACCCATCGTGCGGCTCAAAAGGCCCACCAAAACGCCAAAGGCACCACCTCGTCGGGAGCTGGGTCGTACGAGGTCATCTTTGTCGACTGTCTACGCCCGGCCTTGAAGAACATCGCAAAGAATAGGCAGAAGGTCTGCAGCAATGCTGGCGTCACTGACGCAGAGGGACTCGCCAAGGTCGTCGTGCAGATGTGTCAGGAGCAAGGCGTGGACCTCAAAGTCTCTTGGATCGAGGGAGACGACGTGACCGACGCAGCCCTGAAAATGGTCTCGGCGGGAGAAGAGTTTGCCAGCTTACCCAGCGACACGAAGCTTTCGGACTGGGGCCACGAGCCCATCTTTGCCCAGTGCTATCTCGGCGCGGTTGGGATCGCAGAGGCGTTTCGCGCTGGCGCCGACATCGTCCTCTGCGGACGTGTGGCCGATGCCTCTCCTTGCGTCGGGGCGGCCATGTGGTGGCACAACTGGAAAACAGACCAATACACGGAACTGGCCCACGCCCTGGTCGCCGGCCACCTCATCGAATGCAGCAACTACGTCACCGGAGGCTACTACAGTGGGTTTAAGAAGGAAGTCCTCGACGCCTGTCAAGACATGGGGTTCCCAATCGCCGAAATCGAAGCGAATGGCGAGTTCAACGTCACCAAGGAGAAGAACAAGCAGGGAATCGTGACCCCGGGAAGCTGCATCTCGCAGCTCCTGTACGAGATCCAAGGGCCCTTGTATTACAATTCGGACGTCACGGCTCAGATCGATCTGATCAGAATGGACAGTGTCGGCGAGGCCAGGGTCCACGTTTCCAACGTGATAGGACACCCACCGCCTCCCACCACCAAGGTTGGATTTACCGCGGTAGGAGGATACTCGGCCGAGTTCCACTACTTCCTGACGGGGCTGGACATTGAAGAGAAGGCCAAGATGGTGGAGGTGCAGACACTCGCTTCCATGGGCGAATACCGCAAAGAATTCCACACGCTGACCTTTACCGTCACGGGGTACTCGCGCCCGAATCCCAGGAACCTGAACGAGGCCACGGTCGACCTGCGCATCTTTGCCCAGACCCGAAACCCGGACATCATATCGGCGGGGAAGAACGTGGTGGTGAAGCCCGAGACGCCGTGTTTTGCCCGATGGTGCCTGGAGAACTGCCTCCAGGGGTATCCGGGGTCGACCATGGCTCTCGACATGCGACAGGCCATGGGCCGCCCCTATTTCGAGTACTGGGCCACGCTGATTCCGCAGTCCGTCGTGGATCACAAAGTCCACCACTTCTCCGGCGCTGTCCAGAGTATTTCCGCCCCGGCTGTCACGAAGGAGTATCCTCGACACCAAGACTCGTACGACACGGCGAATCCGCTCCCCGCGGACTCGTGGGGTCCCGTGGTCTCTGCTCCCCTGGGACACATTGTCATGGGTCGCTCCGGAGACAAATCGTCAGACTGCAACGTGGGCCTGTTCGTTCGACACGCCGACGAATGGGACTGGCTGCGCTCGACGTTGTCGATCCAAAAGACCCAAGAGCTGCTCGAGCAGGACTACAAGGGAGGCCGCATCGACCGCTTCGAGTTCCCCAACATCTTTGCCGTCCACTTCTTGCTGAGGGATCACCTGGACCGAGGGTGCAACGCCTCGTCGAGCTACGACACGCTGGGGAAACTTTGTTGCGAGTACCTGAGAGCAAAGTATGTTGACATACCCGTCAAGTTTTTGGATCGAGGCATCATCTAGAGGTGTCCAGGGGGGTCCTGGAGCTTAGGAGCTGCCCCTCGCACCCGTTTCGCACGAGAAAGTCAGTAGTGTAACTGGGTGCATTATCCAAGTAGGTGTTTGCAATGGGAAACATTGATATGATACCCACCTACGGGCCCCAGCTACCACCTTGGGTTATACGCAGAGCTAACCAGCGACGTCTGCGAGCCCTTTTGCTCGCCGTGTCCCGTGGGAAGAAACACGCATGGTAAATCAATTTGAACTCCAATGGTTTGATATCTAGATACGCCCCCCTGAAACTGAGTCCTGGCCCCCTATTAAACCCACTAAACCCCTAGTTCTGGACAGGCACAGCAGGTCCAGCCAATAATAACCGAGCGCTATGCTATATCTACTATAGCCTACCTCGTCTAGCCCCCTTGGGAATATAATAGTCCAAGCAAGTCCTGAATTGCAACAAGCACACCATTGCTGTCAACCCACTGAAGCCAAGTCTGATTTGTACAAACACATTATGCTCGTAGCTTTCTAGGCAAACACACCTTGTGATGGACCGCAGGTCCAGGCGCAGGCCCGGGAATGGATACACGCGCGCCCGCCACATGACTCCTCAGTTCCCGTACTCTTTTCCTAACTTGGTATGGCCAAAGTCCCAACTTGGTCGGACGTCGATTTAGCTATTATCTCCTATGGTATTACTACTCGATCAAACTGCTCCGAGATTCTTTGGAACCAAAAAAGCAAAAGGAAGGGGGGGAAGAACTCCGACCCAGACTGACGAGGGCTCGGTCATGGAGGCATCCCAATCAGCTGGGTAGCTACGTAGATAGACAGAAAAATCTAACATATAAAGTGGTTCTTTGGGTTCCATCACAGTCGGGCAAGACAGCTCGTCAGCGTAGAGATTCTGATTCGGAGTCAAATTCCAGCCACGCAGAGGCAAATGGCGACAGCGGGTTCAACCCGTGATACTCTCCCGCCAGGCTTGGAGCAGTTGTCATTGCTTCGTCTGATTGACCGGGCGAAATCGGCCAATTGTCCTCTGTCGACTCTAGGACCAGAAAGTCGCTTGGTATAGAGGTCCCGCCGGTATCTATATCGTTCTCGCCATTGTCCACCTGGCGGACAGTCAGCAGCTCAGGATCCCCAAGCTGGCATTCGGCCGACGCCCTCTCTTTTCTGTCGAGCTTCGCAGACTCACCCACTAGGTATCGAGCCAGGTCATCCTGCGCATGACACTCTTCATGGGATGGAAATGCGTCACATTGCTGCGGCCGATGGGTGCGTCGGTCAGTGGCTGATTGTGACGTTGCGTCACCACTTTGCAATGGCGATCCGCCCGCCGTGTGACCGGCGAGTCCCAAGGTACCCTTGAGGAGATAGTTGATATTTTTGTTGATCAGATCGAAGTTCCTCAACGTGGCTTGAATGTCCGAGAAGCCGTGCGCAGTGCGTGACAGTGCAGGAATGCACACATGAGCCAGTCTTGGACCGGTCGCGGTGAGGAGGCGTCCAAGGTTCTCATCCGGTACCCAGTAGTCCAGGATGTCGAGCATCTCTCTGACTTTTGCCTCGATCTTTTGTTGTTGGATAGCTCCTACATACAGGGATGATTGGGTCTGCCCCTCTCGCATGACACGCGCCTGACATATCGACATGGAAAAGGTCTGGTAGGCTATACCCAACAAGGCACGGTGGAAGGAGACCAACCACCAGGATCTGGCGGACTCACTTGAAGCGTGATCGGGAGGACCAGCACATCGCATCCAGCTTGGAATGGAGTCCCACCACTGGGCCAGAGAGATCTCGTGAGACAGCAAGCAATCGGCCGGCAATGAGCTGAGCCTCAGAGCAAGACGGTATGAGAGATCTTCTGACTCGCTGCCGGTAGGGCCAGAATCCTCGCCCGAGCTGACACTTTGCAGCACTTTGTCGATCATTGCAGACAACCGCAGCTTGGCGTAGAAGAGATTGGCGAGTAGCTCTTGAATTCTGGCATCCTGAAGCGAGATAGAGCCAGACATCCTGTGCCATAGTTCTGGTGAGAATCTGTCGGGGTTGATGGATAAATACGTTGGAGATAGAAACCCGTCCACGTGGGTGTGCATGTAGCTGCCTTCACCCGATCCGAGCATCATGGTCAACTCCTGCACACGGATTGACCACACTAGCTTGACCAATGCGGAATCAAGATCTGCGTGTCTCTGATTTCTAGGCTGTGCTGAGGCTCTTCCATCCGATTGCATGTACTGAACGAAGGTCAATCTCTGAACTCGGTCGATGCAGACCTTCAACCAGTATCTGGAGACGTGGAGCGATTCCAGACTCGGAGTGGCCCTCATGGACAGAAGAAGGGCAGCCTGCGACAACAGCAAAGAGTCATCATCACGGTTCGTAGAGAAGGAAGCCTGGACATCAGTTAGCGGTGGTGTCAAACCCAAGGGCTAAGGGCTTTCTCTGGCAAATACCTCGTGATATGACTCAAATCTCACCTTCGCAAGGTGGGCCAGAGTCCTCTGTGCGTGCCGTTGGGATTCATAGTAGCTGGAGCGGAAGTCGTCCTCGAGAGCGTATAGCGACCCGGCATAAAAGATGGCTTGCATCAGAAGAGTAAATGTGGTTTTGGACCCCGCGAAGTCTTCGGTCATGGCCCTCTCTGCCACCTGCTGAATATCGAGGAATGGTAATTGTGGATGCACCCAATCAATATAGTACTGGAACAGCTTCCATTGAAGTTTCTCATCCGGGAGAGGTACGCACAGGTCCGGCTCGTGGAGGAAGCTCCTTGTGCTTGACGATCCCGATGTCGATCCCCATGCGTTGGACTTTCCATCCTTCTCTCCTTCGACACTGATGGAAGCCATCGACTTGATCTGCGCCTCAACTTCGTCTAATGTCTCATCGAATCTTGCGCCGGCGCTGAGCTCGATCGAGGAGGAAGTCCCACGGGCGGGAATACTTTGTCTCTTATCGGTCCCATGGTCCACCACCGAACGACTCTCACTGTGACTGCCATCTCCAGGACTGTTATTGTCCTCGGCCACCACTGCGGATCTGGGGTACCTCCAATCAGCACATATTCGACATGATGAAGGTCTGTCATAACCCGAACCTTTTTCGAGCTTTGGCCCATAACAAGCATTCTTGGTTTGTGTGACGACAATTGGTACAGGGTGTGCCATACAGCGCGCCATCACAACGGACCTTCCTGCGATGGCACACGGTGCAAGCACTCCTGGCTCTCCGGTTGGTTCTGCTCCAGGATAGTTGGGCTTTCCTTATAGAGAGCGCATCTTGCTGGTCGCTAGGACTGTGCCCTGTCTCCTTCTCGTGCTGTCCCTGCATGCTATCATCGATTCGGTCTCGTCGTCACACTCGTCATGATCAAGTCGTCAAATGGGGTATGAATGCCGGCAAGTTGAGCCCTGCTTTTGGTGCGGCAGTGGTCTTTGTGAATGTCCACTCTGACGCCCGCTAAACAAATCTTTGAGCTGGATTGGAAACCTTCCTGACTTGGATCAGGTTAGCCCAAGAAAAGAACTAGACCTTGATGATTACTTTGCAAAAGCCGGGTCTCTTTAGAAACCCCTTGAAAATTCTCACGTGCCGGTGCGGACAAAGGTCGGCACGGACATTCCGGTTCGATGCCCGGCGCGCGGCACTGACATACGCGCAGGTATCATCACCTGGTGACGGAGTAGTGGAGCAGGTTATAGAACTAGAACCTAGGGAGGGCGAAGCCGTGCAGGGACATCTTTATATTAGATGCCGTTTCTGAGCGCAGATAACGCAGTATGTATATTCGTGGAGATGGTATTTGACGGAAAGGATGTTATGAACTCCAGCGCAAACCTCGATGCAGAGGACAATCTGCTAGCGAACATAGCAAGTACTCATCCTAGTGGCGAATTATGAATGTGTGACCTCTCACTATCTGAGCGAGGAAATCGTTATCCGTAACAGATCAGAAACCCGAGAACAGATGTTAAAAATGATGGACCTCTCCACAAAGCTCTATCCGATATTAGGGAGCCAGGACGGGTCTAGATATGCACGTTGCACACCAAAACACTGGCCCATCCGCCACTTCCCTGGCCTGATCATAGATATATATGCTTACAGCACCTCTGCCATCCCTGGTCGTGTGATATTACCGTCCAGGGACCGATGGTGTTGTCAAGACAGAAGCCATCTCATAGCCTCTACACTGTCCTTCTGGTACTCTTCCGCCGGCCCCTTGAGAGACTTTCCGGGAAAGGTCCAGAAATAGTGAGGAAACCCCTTGTATTCTTTGGACCTGACTTGGACCCTTTCTGAGGTTTTAGTCTTGGCTCCCTTTTCACAATAAACGAGAGAGAGAGACAGAGACAGACAGAGAGAGACAAATAAACTCACCCTTGAGCCTGAAGCTTTTCAACAAACAGACGTGCGTCGTCGCGAAGGGTGTCCTTGGACGCGATCGTGATGTACGTCTTTGGCAGTGACCCTAGCTTTTCATGCAGCAGGACCGAATAGTACTTGTCGGCGGGATCTGCTCCGTAGGCACCTATTATGTAGAGCCGCCGACATGTTATGAGTCTGATCTGACCTGCTATTGTTCTGGGGACTGGGAAGGAGGGGTGGGGGGACCAAGCCTCACGAGCGAAACCCTGCATGCCACCGGGGGTATTGGGCCCAGTATCCCTGTTTTCGATATAGGAAGTGTACTTGCTCCTCAATTCGTCGGGGACAGCTTTTGGGTCCACGGTGACCGGGACCGCGGCGAACAGGCCATCTGGAAGGATCTGGCTGTCCTGATCGACCAGCTGCAATGTGGTGGCAATGGCGAGATTCGCTCCCGCAGAGCCTCCCGCGAGGATGACCTTGTCGGCCACGGCGCCGAAAGTGCTTGCCTGCGTGACAGCCCACGTGTAACCCTCGACGCAGTCGTCGAGAGGCGCGGGATATTGATGCTCAGGGGCAAGGCGGTATCCGATCGACATAACAATCAACCCAACCCTCTTGCAAAACTCCTCGCATTGGGCGTCTTCGGCGTCCAGGTCGCCCAAGGCCCAGCCGCCGCCGTGGATGTACACGCAGAGAGCGGAGTTTTCCAGCGCCGGAGGGGTGTAGATGCGCACTTTGTTCCCCTTGGTGCCAACCGCTCGGTCTTCACGCTTGACGGATTCATCGCGCGGTTTGAAAGAGAATTTGGAAACCAGGTCTTTTCCTAGCGTGTCCCATTGCTTGTAAATCGTGTCGATGTCGCCGTCCAGTCTGGGACGGTAACCCAGGTCAGCTTCGAACTATTTCTCAATTAGCAGCCGTACCGTTCTCCTGTACTTTACACTCCGTGACTGTCCAGGGGTGGATAGATCACTTGTTCGGAAAACATACACTGAGCCACTCTAGTGCATAAGACTCCAGCATAATTTTCAACGACTCGGAAGACGAGGACGTGCCCTTGATTTTGGTTCAATGGCGCAAAAAAATAAACTTGTCTGTCTCTTTCCAGGCTCAGATGGGATGGGGGGTGGTTCCTTATTACATGCTGTCAAGCACCCAGCAAAAATGCTGCCCAATCCTCCTCGCCCGGTAAACGATTGACGCTATAAGGATCGAATCCAGGATCCTTGATTCAAAACGCATCGAGGACAGGAGGAGGCTAGAACAGTCCCATTTTTGTGGGTGCAAGACCATCTCCTTGAGCTTTTCTACTGGGGAAAAAAACAATCTGGTTTATACCTCGTCACGCCTATGAAATTACTTCGTCTCTAGTATGTAGATCCTTCAGGGCTGGCCCATTCCTCCAGTTTTTTACTGTTGTGCCACGATAACTAGAAATTCTTTCCCCGGACCTTTTACAGCTTCTCTCTGATTCTAGGTTGCTGTGCACGGGCGTCCCTTTGAGCCCATTCCCTTATCACCTTCCTTTGAATCTTTCCACTGGCCAACTTGGGGATCTCTTGGACAAAGACGACACCGCCTTGAAGCCTTTTGTGTTTGGCGACTCGTGCTTCGACCCAGAGCTGGATCGATCTCTCGGTCTCACGGCTGCTGGAATCCCGATCCCCGTCCTTCAGTACGATATATGCGCGGGGGAATTCCTCTTCGCCGATCTTCATGCCGACTACAGCGACATCGGCCACCTGTTCGTGCTGAAGGAGGACAGCTTCTAACTCGGCGGGAGCAACCTGGAGGCCACTGACTTTGATGAGTTCCTAGTAGTCGATAGTCAGTCTCGAATCTGCAGCATCCAGTGCTCTCGCCTCCAGAGGCATCGTGGTGGTAGGAGTAAACGGGTACCTTTTTTCTATCCACGATCCAAAACAGGCCCTTGTGGTCTGCAACTGCAATATCTCCCGTTCGTAGCCACCCATCACCAGTGAAGGTCTCGCTTGTGGCGACGGGGTTCTTCCAATACCCAAGCGCAACGTTGGGACCCTTGTAAAGCAGTTCTCCGCGCTGACCGGGACAGACTTCGTTACCATCGTCGTCAATCAACTGGCAGGAAGAGTTTGGATGCAGCATTCCCACACTGCCAGTCTGACTGGTAATATCTCCCGGCATGTTGAGGCCGCCGCACGTTACTTCGGTCATTCCCCAGCCCTGTTTGACCTGGAAGCCAAATTTCCGGATGACTTCGTTTTGCAGACTCATCGAGAGTGGCGCGGCCCCACAGAGGACGTCGGTCACGGAGCTCAAGTCGTAGCTGGACGTCTCGGGTCGCTTTGAAAGCATGATCATGATCGGGGGCGCAATCTGGAGATGGGATACCTTGTAGTCCTGAATGACACGCAGGAATTTCTCGTAATTGAACGCACTCATGACGAAGACACGGGCCCGTAGCTTGGCTGCCATCAAGATGCTGTACACTTGGCCATAGGCGTGGTAAAATGGTAGAAATCCAACCCACCGTTCCGCCGGCCGGTCACCGTCCGTGTAGGGCTTGCCTTGATCACGCATAAACATGATCTGTTCGCAATTTGCTATCAATGCGTGGTGGGACACGATGACCCCTTTGGGAAGGCCGGTGGTGCTGTCGATTGAACTGTCAGCCCACGACCCACAACAAAGCTTTCTGGGATCGATGCAGTCTAAACGTACCCGGACGAGTAATTGAGGCTGGCAGGTCGGGTGGTCGATGTCCTTTGGTCTAGACGGTCCCACTGCCACATGTTGGGACTTGATGCCGTCGGAAGGAAAGAATGCCAGTCGAGGATGCCTCCGGTCGATTCAACTGGACGATCGGAGAACAGCAAGAGGCGGTCCGCGGGCAATCCGACATGACGTGCAGCTTCGAGGGCGGCGTCAACGATGCTGGGATGGACAAGGATCAATTTGGCCTCGGTGTCACGGAGCATGTGAGTGAGCTCTGTCTGGGGATGTTAGCATTCGTCACTGAGACGAAGTACTCGGTACCTGATGGATGTGATTAACCTCGAATGGTGTAGGCGGGATTGGCCCCAGTAAATACGGCCCCAAAGCCAATGACGCCAAAATACGCCACGGGGAGGAAGATGTGATTGGGCGTAAAGACAATCACCACATCGCCCACCCGGAGTTGATGCTTTGCCAGCACAGCTGCAAACCGACGCACCCAAACCTGGAGGGAATGCAAAGACAAGAACCTGGACGGATCTTCCGAGTCGACCCAGATTGGGTCATGGGAGAGGCTATCGCCATCGAAGACATAGGATAACAGGTCAGTCTTGGGAATGTCCAAGTCTGGAAAGACAGAATGAAGCGGCATGGCGAACCCGTGGGCGGCGAGGTTGAGGAGGGGGGAAATAGAGTCCGCAGCAGGTTGACAAGAAACAAGTCTATCTAAATTACAACCTTCAAGTTCCCATAGTTGAAGCAACCAGGTAGACGGACCCCCGGAGCGAGAGAAAGAGAGAGGGAGCCCTCACCTTCGACACGCACGCACCACTATTGCCAGGGTACGGAGTAAACAAGGGCGAGGCGGTCAGCTCCAGGGCGTATATCGATATCCGCACATCAACCCTATTGACAGAAAGGTGGCCTCTTTCTCTCTCTCTCGCGACGGAGGGCAGGTGTGCGTTAGATCCCATGGGAAACACTTTGCGAGAGTTTTGGTCTTCAGAGTTACTCTGGTGATGCTCTTTATTCAAGACCTTTGGACATATTTTTGTCAAAGGCCAACTGCTAAGAGGCCTGACGAGTTGGTCATATCCCAGAACTAACGTAGTCTGGGGTTGGGGCCTCAAGCTTCCAATAAACTCATCGTATCTAGTGGGAGACTAAATGGGTCGGCACCAGATCGAGCCCAGCCCCGTTAACCGAAGGAGGGGTGGAGTGGCATAGACAGGCAGACAGGCAAACCAGGTAGCTTCTCTCAGCCAAGGTCTTGGAGAAGATTTTGGCGGCTCGTAGACCTTCCAGGTGCCTGTTTAATGCACGAAATATGAAGCTGTAGGTGGCGACAACCATGGACAAGAGTTATCCACCCCCCCTCCAACCCCCCTTCTTCCCCGGGAACACGAGGAGCGGGGGACCTGGTATTTGTGCAAAGCGTTGGACCATTGGGTCATTGGGCCCCAGCTGACCTGGCCCATCTAGACTTTAGGGATGTGGTCTGGGAACCCACCCCCCGGATCTGTAGAAACTATGCCCACGCTCTGAAGTATTAGGTACTAAAAGCTCGCCTGCTCGAGTGGCTCTAAAGGTTGACCGTTGAACCGACACTCGCCGCCAACTCCGGTTTTCTAATCCTCGGTCATACCCAGATACACCTGCTATTGTTCTGCCACGGACCCGAGATCACGACCGCTGCTAGATAATGACGACCGAGTCAATGAAGGGTCGACAGCGCGCGGCTTTGGCTTGCGTGCCGTGTCGAAAGCGACGGGCGAAGGTGAGCGAACCCAAACCTGGCCGGAGAAAGTCTCGTTGCTACAATGTCGGATCAGCTCATCTCCTCCGTCAAACAGTGCGTGACCAGCGAGGGAGAATCTGAGTGTCAACTATGCCGTCAGAGGGGGATCGAGTGCATCACGATTCAGGGCGATGGCAGAAGAAGAACGTAAGTCATGGCCAAAGTAACCCACGACCCGTCACTGCTTGGGCTGAACGAGGTCCAGGACCGGGTCAAATGGGCAATTTCGGCGGTTGAAAGACCAGGTGCAGGAACTGGAATCTCTTTTGGCACAAGAACGACGGAAAAACAGTCACCAAGCCGACCTCCCACCGCCGGGTCTCGCCTCGAGCTCGGACGGCCGCCATCATTCTTCGAAAAGCACAACTTCGTCAACGTACCAGACTTCCAGCACAGGGGGATTTGGCCCTGAGCACCGACGGCCAGAAGTCGCCCCGCCTGGAGAGCATCCCTCGGCGTCTGAAGCATTTGCCGACCAGGGCTCAGATCAACCCTCTCCGATGAGTTCGACCGGCAGTAGCAAAGGTATCGTCGATAGGCTACTAGATCCTTTTGGGCAGCTCACCATCGACCATGGCACTGGGCGTCTACGATATTTTGGCCCGACGACAAACCTGCATACCTTCTGGGATGTCAATGTCTCGACCGATGTGGGCCAGCGGAGGGAAAACAATCAAATCACCACGGCGGTTCTTCGCAATCTATCAGTCGAGACCCACGATTACTTGATGTACTGCTTCTGGACGTATCACAACATCATCTTCCACATTGTCCACAAGGAAGCCTTCTACAAGGACAAAGAGAGTGAGCGGGGGAACAACTATTCCGGCCTGCTTCACATCTGCATTCTGGCCATGGGATATCGCTTCTCGGACAAGTCAAAGCCCTCGATTCAGAAGCTGGCGCTCCCGGATTGTCCGAGAGAGTCCATGTTGCACCAGGAAGCGAAGAGGCTCTTCGAATACGAGCTCAAGCATCCGGGGGGAATCCCCTCCATCCAAGCCTTACTCCTGCTGGCAGATCTGGAGTGCGGATCCGGCCGGGACAATACTGGCTGGATGTACGCAGGTAGGCACGATCCCATCACCCCTTGGCCCAGGAACATCTCTAACGCTTTGACGAATGACGCTGACTGCTTTTTGTAGGAATGGCGTGTCGCCTTTGCTTTGATCTGGGGCTGAATCTTGACTGTACCGGGCTTGGGCTCAGCCGTGAAGAGATTCAGGTCCGACGCCTGGTCTTGTGGGCGTGCTGCATCTACGACAAGTAAGGACCTCCTCCCCCGAGTTTGGGGCCATACCAGAGTCGCCGTGCTCACTCTGAGGCAGATATTGGTGTCTCTATCTGGGACGGAGGACTACTATAAAGTCCTCCGACATTGAAATTTTACCCGCGGCGGACGCGGCCGATCGACTGGGAGGCCTTCAGCCATCGGGCGTGGAGAAGGCCCTTGACACGAGGATCTATCTAGCCTTGTTGGACCTTATGGATATTGCGGGACAACTGACTGACAATCTCCACATCCATGCGAACCAGCTCAGCCACAACTATTACTCCAACGTCGCCGCGGTGGACGGGGAGCTGAATTCGTGGTACAAGCGACTCCCTCCCGATCTTCAGTGGACGCCCGAGAATGTCAGCACGGCGCCTTCTTCATTCTTCCTCCTGCAGTAAGTTGGTTCTCGCCCCTGGTTTCTCGGTCGAATTGAACAATTGTGGGCTCACAAGAGTCTTACAGCCAGCAGTATCATTCAACCATTGTCCTTTTACATCGACCCTTCATTCGAGGACATGCTGGCCGGGAAGACGGCGGCCTCGAAGCCTCCGAGGTGATGCCCGATCGTCTCTCTCATATGTCGCAAACAATCTGCCTCGAGCATGCCACTCGAGTTGCCCAGATCTTGAAAGAACATCAGCAAAGGTTCGATCCTCGACGATTCTGCTTAACTGTGCTCCAACACTCGGGCACAGCTGCGGCGGCGTTGATTGCTCGAGTCCGCACTGTTGACGACCCGGTGGATCGATTGGAATTGTTGCGCCACTTGGAATGTCTGACCCAAGTTCTCTCGGCCATGTCCCCAACTCTCCAGCCGGCCGAACGCATGTCGAATCTCCTGAACGAGGTATTGGCAGAAGCGGGCGTCGTGTTCAAGAAGACGCCCGGCCTGGAGCGAGGGCAGCCCCGACGAGAAATCTCGTCGCTCCGCAGAGCCAGTTCACGGCAGGACGAGGAGGATGAACCGAGTGCGAAGAGACAGCAGACCCAAGGATCGCTACCCAACGAGGTGGAACCCCCGAGCATGCTTTTCGAGGAAATGTTCCACGGGCAGATCGGAACCTCTGAGTTAGCATCGACGCTGGACGCCGACTTTTCCCTCGCTGGATTTGGCCCCGACCACATGATGGATGACCAGACCGTGACTCCGTGTACACAACCCTCGTTGATGCCTCAACCTCTTCCCGCCATGGCTGTCTCCGTGCCAGAAGCGCGGGCGGCCAACAGATTTTCCATGTTTTCGTCCAACGGCTGGGAAGCCTTTGTTCCTGCTTCAGCTCACGTGTACCAACCGATGGACTCGCCGGAAGACTGGAGTGAGATATTGAGGGATTTTGGCTCCAACATCTAACTGTTCCCATGGACAGCGACAGCAGCCCTGTCTTGCCCTGATGTTGGGGAAGAGCATTCGGTCAGCAGCAGCAGCACCTTTGGTTCAAATGATGGTGGCCTTGTAAAACAGATCTTAACAACCTACAGTACATATAGGAGGAGTTGGGCAGTTTTGAAAACTTGTCCAATGCATGGTATTATAGTATAATATTATACCGGTCGCAAGGCCAGAGAGGCAGCCGTAATCCTGCTTGCTCACCCCTTATCACTCTTTTTCAGCCATCCATTCATTGACACGAAGGTCTCGCAAGTGGCTGAGGGGTGCAAGGCTGTATTTAGGTGTCCCGAGTAAATGTTCTCTGTGAATTCATCCCATCCCATCCCATCCCAACCAACCAACCCGACCAGCCGTGAGCGATCATGCCTACACGCAGCATGGACAGGGGAACTTCGCTTTCTCGCGGGTCACAAACCGGGCTTGGTACCCGCTTTGCAGCGTATACGGAGAGGGTATTGAGTAGACGAACAAAACGCCTGGCTCACTCATGCACTCACTCACTCACGCACGCACGCACGCTACTCGCTCATTAGGCTGTAAGAAACCAGCAGATTAGCAGTCCAGTCCAGTCCAGTCCAGTCCAACTTACTAACGCTCAAGGCTCAAAGGTCAAGGATCAAAAGCCGTGCCCAGGCACTGGATCTGGTCTCTCTGAGGGTCTTGCGGGTCTCGCGCGGAACCCATCCTTTCCTGCGCGACGGGTTTCCATATCCGCCTCCCTCGCCCGACCTCGATTGCACAAGTGGTACGAGGTACTCAAAAGAGGATACCATAATGTGTATGTAGGCACACATTGGCTAGGCACGCTTCGGTTTTCTTTTTGTTTTTGTTCTGGGGCTAATCCTGGGTTTCATTTTGTGAAGCAGCTAATCCCTTTGTCCCATTGGCAAGGCTTCCCTTCTTGATCGCCTTTTCATCCCCGACAACCAAGCCCTCGATTTGTTTCTGAACATCACACGAAAAAAAAAAAACCTAACTCAAGAACCCCGCGGGTTGTTTGCAGCATATCGACTGACTGACAGACCATGGCACCTGCGTCGTCGCGAATACCTGCGCTCCTACGCGACCAGATCAGCCATCGAGCAAGGAAGACTTTGGACGCGGTAGAGTTTTTTGATTTCCTTTTCTTTTTTCCCTTCCTTGTCCCGTCTTCTCCTGTTCACCCCCCTTTTGCCCATCACATTGTTGTTAGTCGTGAGCCGGGCCCCAAGACTCATATTGTTTCCCAATGTCTAGGTTGAAAAGTTCGTCCTAGAAGAATGTGAGTCCTAGAAGGAAAAAAAAAAGAAAGAAAGCGCGGGCAATTCAAAATCCCACTCCCCAAAAAATATGCATCACCGACCAGACTGCATCTCGCTCTTCAACTGACACTCCGATCCCGCACCCAGGCGTCCCGGCCGAATCGGTTTTCGAAGCACAGCTGAATACTCGGGAGAATGGGCGCTGGACGAATCCACCCGTGCTGGAGGACCTGAAAAGGAGCGCTCGCTCGCTCGGCCTGTGGAACTTGTTTCTCTCGACGCATTCCGAGGGTGCTGGATATACCAATTTGGAATACGCCCTCATGGCCGAGTGCCTTGGAATGTCGCGGCTCGCTCCAGAGGTATGTCGTTGAAAATCGCGGGCTAGAGGTGCAATCCTCGGGTAGCCATGTGCTTTTTAAAATCGAAAGGGTTCATTGATGTTCGTTCAGGCAACAAACAATTCCGCCCCGGATACCGGCAACATGGAAATCCTGGCAAACTATGGTACCCCTGAACAGAAGCGACGATGGCTCGAGCCCTTGCTGAAGGGCGAGATTCGATCGGCCTATGTCATGACGGAGCCGAATGTGGCGTCCAGTGACGCGACAAACGTCCGTCTGAGCATGGCCAGGGACGGAGATCATTATGTACTGAATGGATCGGTAAGTATTGCTCTTTCTTCCCGCCCCCTTTTTGTGGCCACTTAGTCACCCAACAACTTTTGGTGTGATAGAAATGGTGGATCAGCAGTGCTGGAGATCCACGTTGCAAAATCTACATCGTTATCGGCAAGACGAATCCGAGTCACCCAGACAAATACAAACAACAATCCATGATCATCGTCCCTGCCGACACGCCAGGAATCAAAGTCACTCGACTCCTGTCAGTGTATGGCTTCGACGACGCTCCACTGGGTCACGGCCATCTCACCTTCAACAACGTGCGCGTGCCCGCCTCGAACATGCTCTTGGGAGAAGGACGAGGATTTGAGATCATGCAAGGTCGCATGGGCCCCGGTAGGATTCATCATGCCATGCGGTGTATTGGTTTCGTAAGGATTCCTTCCCCCCTCTCTTTTCCCTCCGAAATCTTCTGACCACAAAAGCCAGGCTGAGCGCGCTCTGGACTGGATGTTGAGCAGGGCAAACGACAAGAATAAACAGCCATTTGGCAAGGTACTCAGCGAACATGGTGCCATGGTGGAAAATATTGCTCGCTGCCGGATCGAGATCGACGCCGCACGACTCGTCGTGCTCAATGCGGCCGCCAAAATTGACCAGGTCAAAGCGAAAGGGGCGATGAAGGAAATCGCCGAGGCCAAAATCTTCGTTCCCCAAGTGACTTGTACCGTCATTGATCGCGCCATCCAAGCGTTTGGTGCCGAGGGGGTGTCTCAGGATACACCTTTGGCCGCCATGTGGGCGGCTGCCAGGATTGTCCGCATCGCCGATGGCCCGGATGAGGTGCATCTGCGGCAGCTCGGTCGCAACGAGAATAAGAGAGCGGCTGCTGTGCAAGCTCTGCTCGATGACCAAAAGGGCCGAACCAACAGCATGTTGGAATGGTACGGGGTACAGGACCCTTTGGGGGCAATACAAGTCCCACGAGCGTCAAAACTGTGATGGTACCTGGCTAGCCTCTGCAAGCCAGATGACCACGGTGGTAATGTGGACCACGGTGCGTGTGTTGCATTCTTTGAACTTGAGGGGTGGTCAGGACGCTTGGGGAACCGGAAAGGTGTTGATTAGATGGATTTAGGGGGCCCGAAAGTTCATTGACGTTGAGGCGAGAGAAAAGCAGGCAACCCCTAGATAAAGCACTGTGTAAAGAGCCCAAGCTGGATAAGCATTAGTTAGATTTGAGGCTGCTACTTGAAGTGAGCCGCCTCTTGACACAAAAACCCAGCACATCGGTGGGAATAAGTGGACCTGGAACGGCAAACAGTCAGAACGTTAGCTGCTCTCGTCCCCGCCACATCACCTGGGGTGCAAATGGACCGGTGGCTTCCGAGAGGCGCAATGGACCGAAGGGCTTCTGGGAATCTGGGCTGAAGGCTCGTGATGAGTCGTTCAAAGCATCCTCAATGTACTTGACTACGCTTCGAGCAAGATTATTCGTCTCGTCATCCAGCTGTGCCAGCCTCAACAGAGTTTGGAGGGGTTTAGTGGCTGCCGTATGATCGTTGTAAAGGCGCAAATGATGGACGACGGCGCTTGCAGCCGTCTGAATGTGATGCAGTGTGCTTGTGATCACCACGGGGCTCGCGCAGACACCACTGCTCAGCTCCAAGGCTTGGATGAGGCGCATGGAGTGGTCGTAGCATATGTTTCTCGACAATTCAAGCGCGGCTCTGGTGCTGTTGCCGACGTCCTCGTCGCTGCCCGTCTGATTGCGGCCGGTCGTGGCGCACGACTGATGCAGCGTAATGGCGACATAATGATACTGCTGACTTGAGCCGTCTTTTCAGCGGGGACTAGTTCACCGTTTCGCTAGTATTAGGGGGACAGAAACTCACTGAAGGAAGAGGAAGCTAGGACCGGCATGTTTGAGGTTTCCCCTGCTCCACTTCAACGCTGCTGGTAGACGTTCGTACCACTCGCTCAGCTGCCGATCCATCGCCACGTCGTTCAAGTACGATTTCGATGCGGATGCCGACTTCGATCGCAGCTGCGCATCCGAGATCGTGGAGGCCAAAGCCATCAGACTTTCAAAGGCGTTCGAGACTTCGACATCGGTATCACACCCAGCCTGCCTTCCAGAGTCGGGTGTAGGAAGGTAGCCAACCTCGTCGTGGTGAGGCATGAACATGTCAAAATTCGGGTGATGTGCCGTCGCTGGATAGCCGACCGTAAAGGACCAGCATCTGGCGTGTTTCTCTTGGTTAAAAAGGCTCACGAACCCGCGAAACTGAGGTGGAAAACGAACCGGTTGTAAGTCACGCATGCTCGAATCGCCAAGTTCAGGGCGGCATCAGCCTGACGGGACCGCCGTTGCCTTGTTCCTATGCCCTCACGGGCGAGAACTACACAAATTTGGCTGGCAACGCCTTTTCGTTTATGATTAGCGTAACATTTGCTTCATATCTCGGGGTCAGAATTACCACAGTGTATCCAGCCCTCGGCATACCGCTGCGTTGCAGCTTCCAAGTCCGCCAGCAGCAAGATTGCCTGCATGAGCGATACGGTCCATTGAGAGGAGATGTCGCGGTCAATTTGAGCCTTTATATTTTGATGGAGTTTGGAATCCAGGTGAAGAGGGTCAAGGCCGACAACATCCGGTCCCAGACGAACAGCATATCGATATCCAATCGTGAGCATGCATACGTATAACAATGGTGAGTAGAAACCGCCGCCACCGCGAGCCATATCCAATGCAAATGCTTCCGGGTGTATCATCGGTACAATGATATTGTGATACTGATAGTAACACTGTAACAGATGATCTCTGATTCGGGGCGAGATACGCTGGATGTTAGTATCGATGTTTTCACATAGGTCTGATGGATCTGTTATCGTAGTAACAGAGGCCTGACAGCCATTCCCGTGAGAGTGACAACACGCAGCAGTGTCTTGTTGCTCAGTCACACAACTGGGGCATTGGTTTGGAACATTTGCGGACGAGTCACCTCTCGACGCCACGTTGGACAAACCCCTTACCGACAACGCTTTGTCCTCGGGATCGCTAGGCTCGGGTTGACGTTGTAGAGGGTTAGAGGTATCTTCCCCAGAGAGTATGGATACCTGCCTCTCCAATTCTCGTATTCGATCCGTCAGCGCTCTCACGTGTGCCTTTGACGATGGCCTAAGTGAAGCAGTGGCTGGGTGAGCAGGGACAGCTTTGTGGTCTACACAATCTTAGCGAGTCACATACCTTTTCCTCTCGTCTGTGTCTGTTATGACACACTCAGTGTCCAGATGAAGGCACTGGTCACACCTGGTCTGTCCTTCTCGAACTATACACTGAAAACATTGTAAGTGTGGCTGTCCAATATGCGTCTGATATGGGTCAGATACGAACTTTTATGCGGCGCGTCCGACAGTGTTTGCATGCAACAGAAGCTCTGCATCGCTTCTTTAATGATGACGACGGGGACGACATGTCGATAACCACAGCAGTGTAAAGGCGCGTCTCGAAGAGGAATCGTTATTCTCCTAATATAATCGAGCAAGTGCTGAACAAGAGCTTTGGGAGGAGTCGGTTTCAGCCCCAGCATAAACAGATCGAGAGCACATTCATTCTCCACAACCCCGGTGCGTTCAAATAGTCGCAATGACCAGTTCCAATCACTGTAGAGAAGATCTCCAAAGGCTTAGTGTGGTGAACTTGCTTGTGCTTGTCTACTGCTTTGAGTCCGGAATTGAGGGGAGTTCAGCCCCGGCGTCTCGGAGGAGGAGCAAAGTTGTTCCGGCCTTGGCACGCTCTGTCGCTAACGCACTACAAAATAGATTACTCATTCTGACATGGTTTTGGACCGCAGGCTGGTAGGTTAGAATCTTATTGCCACACGAGGTACAAGGTAGACACTTTTCTCCCTTCTGAACCATCTGCACTTCGTCTTGACCCATCTTACCGCTCCTCATCGACGCTTCTCAACCCTGGATTCGTCGCAGATCTGTCGGGGGCCTCCACAACTTAGACTTTTGCAGACATGCAAATGCGGTCGCGTCCTAAAGGGACCGAGGCTGGAAGGCCAGATGGATCAGGACCAATGCCGCCCTGTCAAAACTCCCCACACTGACTGAACTTGCGTGCCGGAAACGTGGTGACTGGCTGGCCCTGTCAATCACGCCTCTACCTCGGCAGACTCGGGGCCTACGAGGCCAGCCATCCAGACAATGGCGTGTATCGATATCCGCGAACCAGGAAGCGGCAGTAAATAATTGGGGTGTGCTCCACCCAAATCAACTATTCCTCAACGGGTAGAAAGAAAATAATGGCTTGCTTTTGCTTTGTTCGATACTGCTGCAGGGCCTGCAATACTGCTGCAGGGCCTGCAAGACTGCAAGACCCTGCCGAACTAGGAGACCTTGTAAGGCGATGGAAAACGTTCCGATCAACAGGCGGAGTGTTACATACACAAGCCCAAGGAACACACACCCTTTTGAGGTCCGGGTCTTGTGTCAAGGACCCTGCCCAAAGTCCTTTATGCGCTAGACCGACTCGTTACACTCAAGCGCTCTTCACAGTGTCGGAGCACCGCTGGATTTCGCTATTGCTTTTGGTGTATCCCAATGTTTCTTTTCTCCCTACATCAAATGCACGAGTAAGGCAGTGAGCTGGACAATTTCCTTAAAGGGCTTACAACTGTGTCGCTCAGGGGTGCTCACAGGAATCATGTCAAAGCATGCATTGGTGCTTGGTGCATCAGGTATCACGGGCTGGGGCGTGGTGAATGCCCTTTTGTCGGACAACAAGGACACTAGGCAGTTCTCGCAAGTCACTGCTGTGACTAACCGGCCCTTGGACATCCTCTCATCGGGTTGGCCGTCATCCAGCAAACTCGAAATTGTGTCCGGAATCGATCTACTCGCGGGTGAGCAAACCGACCTGCTCAATTCCCTGCGGTGCCAAATATCAGGTCTACCAAGAGTTACTCATGTCTATTACCACAGTAAGTGGGCTGCCTGCATTTGTTACTCTGTGACTTATTGATCCATGATGTACAGGCTACAAATGGTGTGCCGAATCCACCCGAGAGTCCTCCATCAACGAACGAATGCTGAAACGTTGCGTATCGGCCTTGGACGTCCTTTGCCCTAGTCTCGAATACATCGTGCTCCCAACCGGTACCAAGGTAGTGTTGAGAGAATGTGAGCAGGATTGACCCGACTAAGATGATATGACAGGCATACGGCATCCATTTGATGGAGAACTTTCCATGGAAGAATCACCTCCCACTTCGTGAGGACCTTCCTCCTCTGCCAGAGCCCTTCGCGTCGGAACTCTTCTATAACGCACAGAGGGCTGTTCTGGACAGCTTCTCCCGATACCGTACCTGGACGTGGTGTGAGGTGCGGCCGGATGTGGTGATAGGATTCGTTCCCAATCACAACGCACAGTCTCTCGCCCACACACTTGCAGTGTATCTCAGCCTGTTTGCCCACGTAAATGGGAAAGGATCAAAGGTTCCGTGGCCCGGTACGACGACGTCATTCAACATTCTTTCGAGCCAGTCCAGTCAGGACCTGGTTGGACGGTTCATAGTTTGGGCATCGCTTCGCCCACAATTGACCGGCCACGGGCACGCATTCAACATTGTCGACCTCGACGGTCCTAGTACCTGGGCGACCCGCTGGTACACTATATGCTCTCTCTTCGGCCTGCAAGGCGCCCCGCCCGATTCTTCAACCATGAGCCCTCGGAACTTTATCAACACGCACAGCGCGGCCTGGGACGAGCTCGCGCATCAGCACAGCCTCAAGCCGGACGTGCTGGACAACGACCTTGCGAATCCTCACTTCTGCGATGCCATCCTCTGCGATTTCGATTTTGATCATCATATTTCCCGAGAGCTGATCAACCGGCTCGGGTTCACGGAACAGATGAACGAGAAGGCAGCTTGGTCGATAGCATTTGAGAGACTTAGGACTGCCAAGATAATACCATGAGTGTCTAGGCGGATACGCACACCTACGCCTGGGCATGACCAAATTCCCTCATCCCGTAATTCGCTGATGGGTGCGTGCGTAGTTTTATCTTCCCTTTGTGGTCGATGGTATCAAGAACTCCACGTAGTATACTTACTATACGGATTGAATGGCCACATTGGTAAATAATAGTGATTTGTCCATCTTGATAAATTGTCAAACTGAATAAAATGTAGCTTGCACGACAGGATGTCGAGGCTTCATTGCTTTTCTACTAGTGAGATTCCTTCGTCCCAGAATTCATACCATACATGACAACACCCGAGTGGTAGTAGAGATTCTTCCTTTGTACGAGGTTGCGGCCGTGATAGACGAGGCCTTACTTTCACTCGTGATAGAAATCCCCTTTATGCTTCTTCGACAGCCTGCACCTTCTCGTTGGGTTCGGCCCTCCCGACCTCGACGGCCTTGCATCTCAATTCCGGCTTCTGCCAGGTCATGTACGCGCGCATCCGGTGCATTTCCCCCGAAGGATCCCACATGGCGGCTCCGTCGATGCTCAAAATGTCGAAATTCCAGAGGAGGCGGCCAAGTATGACTCTCATTTCCAGGTAGGACAGGCTGGCATCCCAGAAAAAGATTACAGATCCATCAAGTCAGCTAACTCGGCCTCTCGTACGTATTCTCTGCACAGAGAGGATTTTGTCATGAGGTAAGAAACAAAAACAAAAAAAAAAAAAAAAAGACTCGGTGACTTACTGCTTTCCAATACATCCTCGGGGACCGAGAGAAAACGGCGCCATTCCTCGCTTGTTGTCTGTCGCGTATTCTGGATTGTCGAGCCAGCGCTCGGGAATGAAGAGATCAGGGTCCTTGAAGTTGAGAGGGTTGTGTGACGCCGCCCAGCCGCCCACGGCCACATGGGTTCCTTCCGGGACCCAATACCCGTCGATGGTATCGCCGCCCCGTGGTACCGTCCTGAGAAGCCCCGTGGGCACGGGCGGGTGCACTCTGAGGGCCTCCTCAATCACGGCATTGAGATATGGCAGGTTGACCAGGTTCTCGTACACAATCTCATCCTCGGATTTGAAGGCGCCGCGTATTTCGTCCCGGAGGATCTGGTATTTGTCCGGGTTCCAAAACAGCCTTGCAAACAAACCCGAGAGTAGATTTGCAGTGGTTTCACTTCCGGCCACGCTGTGATCAAAATGAGGACATTAGTAAAAGGCTGAAACGCCGTTTGGGAAAAAGGAGAAAGGGGTATCATCATTACATGAATAACCCCGAGTTCACAATTATCTCATCCAGCTTGAGGTCGAACTTGTCGCGCTGCTTCAGTATGTACCAGATGAAGTCTCGGTGTTCAAGGTTGGTATTCTCAAGACGTCTAGACACGGCTTGTGAGAGGGGCGGGTTACCACTTCTTCGGAGGACTTTCGGAATTCACTCACTTCAATGCCTTTTCCCGACTGAATTCGAGGTGACTGCGACGGAATTGCTTCAACCTGGCCGGCAACAGGCTCATCAGGTACAGCTGGAGCGGAGATCCCGGGGTCGCAAACCGACGTGTCGCGTGCTCCACTGCTCCGGCTTTGATATTTTCGAAGATGGCCTGGACAAGAAAGTGGAATTTACCTGCGTGCAAAGTATTGTTAGTCAGAGGGAACAGGACTCTATGTCCACGACCTTTGAGAGAGGGGTGGGAAATACCATTATCGAGACAACCAAACGGCTCCCCAAAGGCAAGATCGCCAATGATGTCGAAGGTGGTAAAGTTGAGCCAATCGACGAGATTGAATTCCTGGCCATCCCGCGCCATCCGGCGGACGTTGTCGACCAATTTAGTGACGAAATGTTGGATGATGTCTTGCTGCTCTGTCAGGGCTTTGAGGGAAAAGGCATGGGCCAGAGCTCGCCGCTGCCTCGAGTGGTTTTCATCGTCGGCCATGGTCAGGGTGGTGACTCCAGGTAAGTTGTCGACAGATCCGACGTGGACGGGCGACTTGTGCATGTTGATGTGGCCCTGGCGATGCCCGTAGATGTCATCCCAGGCCTGGGCCGAGTTGAAGGCCAATTCATTCGGGCTCACACGGACAACCGGCCCTGTGGTCTGTGTTAAGCTTCATTGGATGGTTCGGGGACATGGTTGAATCTCACCATATTTGTCATGCAAGACTTTGTTGTCTAGTGGTAGCCTTCCTCTCAGGAGAGAAATGATGCCCGGGATGGATGAGATTGCATTGAGCTTTGGACCGGGAAATTTGGCCAGTGGATGGAAGGTAAGTCGGTAGATTGCGACTGCCACCCACACGATGGTTGCCTGAGAAGACAGTTAGTACCGATGATGTCCAAAAAGATGGTAGATTGGGACTGGACATACCAACAACAGAGAAGAGAAAACAGTGTAGCCGGCGAACTTGACGACGAGAGCTAATTGAGCCATTTCGAGCCTGGGTGCTGATATAGGACAACGAATCGAGTCGGCCTCAACAGTTTCAACATCCAGAAGGATATACAATATAAATCAACAAGATTTGCTGATTAAGCCTTTTGGAATGATATGCTGAGGAATGCAAACGGAGCAGATTTGACTGGGTAGAGTGGATTCTGGTTGAGAATGGCACTGGCGTAAGGTGGCGACTCTGGGCAAGCGCCTCAAGGCTTGTAAAGAGTGCACAGGGAAAGTTTTCACGGCAATGAAACTACTGGGGTTGCGTGCTGGAAGTCGGTATACGCAGTTGACTACTTTATAGCGCCGAGGGAGCGACGCACGGCTTCCCGCGCCCAGGATGACTTGCCCAAATGCTGATCAACTGCTATCTTCATGCCTTCTGCGTGCTCAAATCGGCCTTAGCATAGAGTTGAGCATGTCATCCATCTACCACGCCAAGGCCCGCGTGTTTGCTTTTCCGTGAAACAACCAAAGAAAGCCAGGGGGCTCTGTCGCCCTCGCCTAGTGCAAGTACACCTCTATAGATAGTAATACCTAATGCTTACCATATGCCAAGTCATATTCATTTGGGCCGTGCCTGTCTTCTAGAGACCTTGAACACAACGATACCTGACGACAAAGCCGAACGTTGATGGCGAACCCCAACCGCACGGATTACGCAGGAGGCGAGAAGGGCCTTGGGATCATCTGGGTCCAGTCTCTGATCAAGGACCCAGACAGGTTATCGGCTGAGTTGTTCAATCGATGGTATGAAGAGGTCCATATTCCAGATATCCTCGCCGCTGGAAATGGCGGAGTCGTCAACGCATGGCGCTACGAGGCCGTCGACCCGGCTCGATCTCGTCCATGGATGGGGGTTTATAAAGTCCCCGATGTCGCGTTCCTGAGCAGCGACGAGTTCAAGGCGATCCCCATGTCACATCCAATGCTACCAGGCCCAGGACCCATTCACCAATGGGCAGACTTTGACGGCCGATACTACAAGCACGTCCAGACTTGGGAGAACGACAGCAACAAGATAGGTGGGTCAAAGCTTCCTCCTCCTGCTCCTGTGGCGCTGCACAGTGAGGACGGCTGACCAATGAATAACATTGATGTTCAGGGCGAGCACCACTTCTGTACTCGGAGGAGATTGAGCCCGAGGAAGGCAATCAGCGAGATATCAAACAGTGGTACGCCGACGAATACGTAGGAGAGCTTTCGAAGCGGGGTGGATGGCGACGGTCCACACTGCTCAAACTCATTTTCAGAAAAGAAGACAAGGACGATCCCAATTCAGCCTCGATCATTGTCCCAACATGGCTGGCACTCCATGAGTTTGAGGAAGGTGCCCTGCAAGGTGTCCCAGAGTTGGGTCGCCTGGACGCTGCACTGGGGCCGACCAAGAAGATAGAACGATCATTGTTCCGGAAAATGAGCGAGTTTGGCCATATAGATGCAACTCTCTAGAGCAAATTCGTTCTTTAGGTACGAGGTACGTGTACGTGTACGGATCAAACCGGAAATGAGAGGTCATGCAGGATTTCACAGCCATATGTGCCAAGACCGCGCTCCTTCAGGCGCCGGTCTGGGACTTTGCTGAATTTTCATTTGCTTCTTGCGACACACTTATATGACGATGCCTGCCCCCAGCACGCAGCGTGACCTCGAGCTAGGCTGGTGGCCTCCAAAAAACCGAGGGCAAGAAAGCATATCACCGGACAGAGGATATTCCATTAGTTGACCCAAACATCACATCACCGACATGAAATAACTCGCAGGAAAGAAGCACATACCCTCGATTCTCCGAGGGATGTTGATGCTGGATCGATCAGATATGACGGATATCCGGATCATCGATAACGATGATTGCATCTTGAAATGACTTGGGGCCAAACTTCACCCCGAGAGCGTAAATTTTTGTCTCTTGTTTCATCAGCGCTATACGAGTATAATATCTCTTGCTATTGACACGACTAGATATACCAATCTCGCTACTCACTGAGTAATACAAAGGTGCGTCCTAAAGTAGTGTAGCAAATTAGGCCCATACCGTATTCGGTCGAGCGTAGCTTTTTCAACCAATAAGATCATGGGAGCTCGAGTAGGGACTTCCTGATTGGGAAATCGATTTTTTTTTAGCAACAGCTCTTCAGGGAAGGTGCATGTTGGATTTGAGCCGGGAGGTTGATATTGTGTTCCAGTTACACAACTGTATCCCTGAGCATACCACTACATTTCTGGTCCAGTCCCAGCAACTCTCAAAGATCTAGACACTCGCCACCTCGATATTCGTACCCAGTTGTTCTTTGACTGACACGGCAGTGCTCTGTGCCACACCAGCCTCCTCCTCGTCCTCTTTGATGTGCTTGCCGTCTTGGGCGATATGTACAGCAACGCGGTCCCCGAATACCTCGCTCACTTCCTCCAGAGTCTTGTTGGCTGTCTCCGGGAAGTAGAGCAGGACGAGGAAGAAGGAGACAACATTGCAGGCAACCCAGACCATGTACATCTTCCAGCCGATGTTGCGGAATGCCACCGCCGTGGGGGCTGTATACGTGATGGCGCCGACAAAGTACGTGAACCATGCAATGGCCATACCCTTTGAGCGGAGTGGCGTAGGCCAAAGCTCGGAAACGTAGACAAAAACAACGGGATCCACCGTCAAGTCGAGGGTGACGATGAAGAAGAACAGGAAGAAGACACACGCCGCGTTCCCTGCCTTGTCACCCGAATTGACGTATGTACGCGACAGTAACGCTTCTGCAAGGAGAGCTGCGGCCAGGATGGGAAATCCGACCACTGATCAGATCATTAGCAAGAGGCCACTCGAGAGTAGAAACAAGTCAAAATACTCACAGAAGAGAATCCTCCTCCCGGTCTTGTCCATAAAGAACGAGGCCGTTGCAATGGCCAGGGTTCCAGAAAGCGTGTACAACGCATTGAGAAGTAAAGGCATCCCACCGGAGAAGCCGAGATTCTGATAAATGAGAACTTTGTAATTCCCAATGCCAAATGCGCCAGTGCTCTGATAGGCAAACATGCTGATGATGACGATCAGGGTGCGCTTCCGATAGCTCGCGTTTCTGAAGAGCTCCCAGTAGGTGACGTTTATCTGTTGATCCATCTCAACTTGTCGCTTGATCTGGATAAACTCGGCCTCGGCGGCTGTGTCTGTGTTGTCCGAGCTGTCCTTGTGAAGCCGCTTGAGGATGTGCGAGGCAGATTCATCTTGTCCCTTCCAGATGAGCCACCGAGGAGACTCGGGAATGAAAAAGGCTCCGATCACCATCGCAATCGGCGCCACACAAGCAAGTGCCAATGGAAGCCGCCACTGAACGCTCTTGTTCTTCGCGTAATAAGTCCCCAAGCTGACCCAGTTGACAACATTGGTACCCAATCCAAGGCAGAAGGCAAAGGCACCGACAACCAGGCCTCGTCGATGAGGTGGCGAGATCTCTGCAAGGTACAGCGGTGCCAGCGTTACCATAATTCCCATACCCCATCCCTGCACGAAGCGGAAGGCGATCAACATTCCAACGTGGGCAGTACCTGCGATGAAGGCCGTACCGGCGAGGGCCAAAGCTGAGGCCAAGATCAAGGATCTCTTGCGGCCAATTTTGTCGCTCACCCAGCCTTGTGTCACGGAACCAAAAGCACCGCCTGTGAAAAAGAGGCCATTGACGGCCCCGAGCAAGCTTGCAGTGCGCTCGGATTTTGCTAGTTGGAACGCCAATGTCAGTCCCAAGCATCACAAAGCAGGGATGGCGGTTGAGTGTACTGACGATCAAGTTTCAGATAGACGTAGAATTCGGGCTGGCCAATACTGGCTGCGAGGCACGCCCATGCGAAGCCATATGTGAAGCCAGCCGCGGCGCCATAAATAGTAAGGAGGATGTTGTACGGAGTGAGCTTGCCAACTTTTGCCATTTTCTTTTTCTTGTTTGGATGCGTCGCTCGATAGCACTCTGTTCACATTCAGGTACAAGGTGAGACAGACAAGCAAAACTATATATCAACTGGTCGAGGAGAAGAACATCCGGGGTCGCCCTTAAACTGCCACTTTCTACGTGTGCAGCGATCTGTTCTCGCAACCCCAGGTCTTCCGGAGCCGGTGCCGGAGCTTAGGAGATGTGGAACACCTCAAATGCTGGGCGTGATCCCCACGGGGAGAATCTAGGCATTGACCGAGAGACGTGGGAGTCGGAACGGGTGTCGATAGCCGCGGGAATGGTCTGGGTGCAGCCTTGGTATCACACAGTGTTTGAATGGTTGATCTTTGATCTGACGCCAAACGAGGAGATACTGACTGCTAAAAGCAAAAATGTTCAAGGTTGACATGGCATTTTCCTAGAACACCGAATTCAATGACCAAATGGTCGCGTTGAAGCACATTACTTTCGAGCTCACCTAGAAGCTCGTCACTCTCCGTGCGCAACAGCTTTCGGTCCGCCAGTAGTGAAAAGTCAGGAATCTTGCCCTGGGTTCGTGCTTCTCCCCGTAGCATTCAGTGAACAGCACCTCGCCAAGTTGTTCAGGTTTGGTGACGCGTGAGAATACTGAAGCAATACCACTCAATCCAAGAGACATTTTGCGTGAAGGGGTGATGCTATTGCGGCATGCTCTAACTTTGAATCCGCAAGACCAAATTTCTCCCATACCCATAATTCGACGGGATAACTGCTCAATGGTAGAAGGCCTGGCCGTGCTTGACACGGGGACTCTGGTACCACGTAGCAAGCATGTTACCATGCTTTGCCCCTTCCTTGTGCGGAAAGTGATTGCCGCGGCACCCATCTCTCCTAGCAGCATAGAGATTATCGAACGCGGATAACAGGACTAAGCGGAGTCTCTCGTGGTGGTCTGCCATCCAGGCAAAACAGCGCTCGCCCTGGGACAGAACCACTCTTCACCTCGTTCAGATTTTCGAGAGCCTGATCTACATATTGAAACGGCCCAACGCTTTGATGAGGTCGCTGGCTTTGTGAAACCTTGTACGTTGTGGTTTTAGACTCATTCCATTCACTTTTTTTTTTCCCTACGCGTCGCCCTCCAAAGGTGGAAACGAAAAATGGGCTCTTATGTCGACCCGCATATCCCTCCTGTACCTCAACCGCCAGATGCGACTCGGACTGGTCAGCATGGATATAGCATTCTGCCTCAATTCCATTCGCAAAGGTCCAGACTCCGAGTTGGATGTGTTGGGGCTGGAGCGACAGGCAAGTTACACTCAGGAGTATCAACCGGACATGGCATCGTCATTTTTAACCGTTTTTCAGGACTCTGTCTTGCATATAAAATGGAGAGACAAATGGAGCCAGGGTCATGGGATTTGACCCTGTACGAGAAGAACCCAGAATTGGGGGGGACATGGTTTGAGAATACGTGAGTGACAAACTGAAACGCCCGGCGATCAACAGTAGATCATACATGCTTAGACCTTTTCTCCCCCAGGTATCCCGGTAAAGGCCTCTCAGGCACCCCGCGACGAGTAGGCAGCTAACAGCGAACTGGATGAAGGCATCGCATGTGATGTATGCGCCAGGTTTGCCCTGTTTGACTGATCTTTGTCGCTGACAAGAACACAGATCCCGTCTCCAATCTATACCTACGTCAGTTACAGACCGCTCTTGTAAGGTGCAGGAGACACGTGCTGTACTGACTCCCGAAACAAACAGACGTTTGAACCGAATCCGAATTGGACACACTTCTATGCTCACGGGGCCGAGATCCAAGGTTACTTTCAAGGTCTGTCACTGCATCAAGGCAGACATGTCAACATGTCAACAAACTGATGACGAAATCCTTCCTTAGCGTTCGCGCGAAAATACGACCTCGAGCGCTATATCAGGCTCAATTCCCGTGTTCAGAGCACAGTCTGGGACGATGAGCTGGGCGTGTGGAAGATTACCCTTCTAGACACTGTCACTGGAGAGCGTGTGGAGGATTGGGCGCATGTTGTTATCAACGGGACCGGGATTCTCAACACTTGGACATGTAAGTCTGTGGTTTTGCCCTTGATCAGAACAAAGGTTTTATGGGCAGTAGGATAACGACTATGCATCCTTGAAAAAGGGCCAGAGATTCTAGGATTGAAGGACTTCAAGGGCCCTGTGATGCACTCGGCGCAGTGGAATCACAAAGTCGATTTTGCAGGGAAATCAGTTGGGGTGATTGGAAAAGGTTCATCTGCTGTACAGATCGTGCCCCAGCTTCAGCCAGGTAAGACGGCACCCTCAGGCTGAGGACTGCAAAGTCTGACTTGGAAATCTCAGTTACCAAACATCTCGACATCTTTATGCGTCCTGAAGGCACTTGGATATCGCCTCCATTTGGCTTCGGGACACTCGGCGACGAATTCAGGAGGGAGGATAACGACCCTTCTTCGAGACAATACACGTTTTCCGAGGAGCAGAAGAAATTCTACGCCGACCACCCAGACGAGCACTTGCGACTCAGAAGGAAGATTGAAGCGGAGATAAATATAAGTAAGATGCGTGTTTTCCTTTGCCCTTCTGTTGGACACGTCGGAGTTGACACAGTTAGTGTTCGGGAAGATATACAAGAAGGACTCGGAAGACAACGACAGAATCAGGGAGGATATGACGCGGGATATGCTTCGCAGGATTGGTCCTGGTCATGAAGAGCTCAAGGCAAGTCGTATCACTCCCCCTTGAACCTTGGACTTTGATCGACGGCACAATAACTGATGACAACACAACTTCCAGAAAGCGCTCATTCCTACCTGGGCTCCAGGCTGCCGCCGCGTCACTCCGGGAGACGGGTTTTTGGAAGCCCTCGTAAAAGACAATGTCCAATGCGTCTTCAGCGGAATCCAGAAGATTACCCCAGAAGGAATCCTCACCGAGGACGGCACCCACCATAAATTCGACATTCTTGTCTGCGCTACAGGCTACAAGCCGGCCTTCGGACCTGCTTGGGAGGTTGTCAATGGGCGAGGAAAGACGCTCAAAGAGGACTGGGAGCCATACGGAGGACCCAAGTGAGTCGAGGTCCCCAACCGTCATGGGGTTCGAGGAAGAGTCTGACCTGGTGCGCCAGTATCTATATGGGACTTTCGTGCCCACGATTTCCCAACTTTTACACCATCGTCGGTGCATGCGCGACATGGTCCAACGGTACTTTGCTACCTTCGGTAAGTCATGGAGTGTTGCTAAAAGCAAATGTCAACCAAAAGATTCAATTTATACCAACGTTCGTGGGCAGATCGAGACGAGTATCGAGTACTCTATCCAATGCATGAACAAGATCCAGTCCGAAGGTATCAAGAAAATGGAATTGAAACAAGAGGCTCTCGATGAGCTGTATCTTCACATGGATACCTTCCACAAGGCAACGGTTTTCCAAGAGCCGTGCAGAAGCTGGTAAGGCCACAACGCCACCCCGATAGAACCGAACAGTTTGTTCATGCATCTCTCAACGGGGATTTGTAAAATGCTGATATTGACATTTGGACAAAAGGTTCAAAAGCGGTACAAAGGATGCAAGAATCTATCTTTGGCCTGGTGGAGTGAGTTATTGTCCTCCCTTCACCAACATCAGCGTCCGGAGACTAAATAACATGCTCTGCCATTTATAGACATTGCATTTCCTCAAGACCATCAAGACTCCGCGGTACGAAGACTACGATATCCACTATCTCAACCAGCGCTGCCGCTTTGCATTCTTGGGCAGCGGTGATGTCAAGGCGCAGCAGACGGGGGACATTAACAAAATGTCACCGTACATTCGGAACTCGGATACGCCGTGGGAGATTGAATGATGGCTCGAAACCCTCGGTATAGACTTTGGGAGTCCTCATGAAGGAGTTGTTTGCTTCTCATGAAAAAAAAAGAAATGGAAAAAAAAACCAGATGAGTGTATATGAGAGCTGTCTGTCCGACAATAGATCTGGCACAATACAAACCTTGGTTCGTCCTTTGCTATTGCCCACACACAGACGCAGTGACCCAGTTCGGATAAAAGTAGAGAGACGGCAAACCTCACTGTTGCCTCATGACGTCCAGCCGCCATCGATACTGTAGACAGCCCCCGTGATATAACGACTGTCGTCTCCGAGTAAAAATGCAATCAACGCAGCGACCTCTTCGGCGGACCCTTTGCGTTTCAGTGGGATAGAGAATGCATCCTGGTCTTGTGTCTCTGCCGCCGTCTGTAGCAGCGGAGTGTTGATGGGACCTCTAGGTTCGAGGGCTTAGCTCTGGACTCCGGTGCTGAGGCTGGGAAACCGTCACTTACGGACATATGCAGTTGACTCGGATGGCCTGATCTGCGCCTTCTTTTGCAGCGGTGCGAGTCAAGCCGACGACCCCGTGTTTAGAAGCACAGTAAGCCGAGCAGCCAGCCATGCCCACCACGCCCGCAACACTCGCGGCGTTGACTATGCTGCCACCGTTCGACACGTGCTTCAATTGGGCTCTGAGACACTTGAATGTGCCCGTGAGATTAATCCCAACCACAGACTCCCACTCGGCATTGTCCATGTCCACCAGCCTTGTCTTTCCTATTCCTCGACCCGCGATGCCGGCCATGTTTGCGCAGCCGTCGAGTTTTCCAAACGTGCTACAGACCGACTCGATCCACTGAGACACTTGTTGATCGTTGCGGACATCGACTGCGGCAGTTTGTAGCTTCAGGTTTGGAAACAAACTGCTCAGCGATGCAGCAGCTTTCTCGAGCTGCGCTGGAGCCACATCGCAGATTGAGATCGTGGCGCCTCTTGCTGCGAGATATTCAGCCAACGCGAAGCCGATTCCAGATGCGCCTCCTGTGATCGCAATGACTTTCCCTGCAAATGGTGGTTTCGTCAAGGCCATCGTCGGAAAGAGGACCAGATCAAGACTGCGATTGCTCTCGTCCTTGAGTAGTTGAACTTGGCATACTCCTGGTGGGCAGCGGGCTGTTGAATACCTTCCACGCCTACCAATTGATTCCGGGGCACTATTGGTCCGTACCGTTCTGGTGTCCCTAATTGGCAATTAGTGGATCATAGGGAAAGGGGGGGACGGAAATCGTTATACGAGCTGCTAGGACGGGATCCCCCGTTTGTCCCTCGTCGGGACCCAGAGCCCCGGATTGGAGGAGCTTCCCAACAGCAACTGTCCTCTCTCTGGTATACAAATAATATCTCCCAGAGACAAAAGCAAAACACATGACTCTCAAGCCTCCGTTTCCACACTTCTCGAGCAGTGAATACAAACCAGGACATAGTTCATCGCTTCCCCTCTGACACACCATGAATACAAAAACCTTTGAGGTCGAATCGAGCCTTGACGCTCCGACAGTTGAAGAGAAGGAGGGCAAAGCGTCGGCCACTCATCATCTCGGTGAGGTCGAGCCTGCTCCTGCCCATCACAGCCTCGTCGCCCCCGACGGTGGACAGGCCACCGTGACGCTCAAAGTCAGTCTTTTTGCTCCCAAATGCTGTCTGATCCAACGTGCGACCTAACATTGCCAGACTTGGATAGCAATATGGATTCTCAGTGCGTCCTTTGGGATTTCCTTTTGGCCCGTCCCAACGACCGGCGCCATGGGACAGGCTCTTGCGACCAAGTTCGGAGACGTCCAAAGCGCTCCATGGATTGTCCCAGCATATACTGTGTCGATTGCCATCTCCCAGATGCTCTGCGGAGGCAACTCGGATGTGAGTGATTTTCTCCTTGTCCATCTACTTTTTCCTGTGAAAAGGCCAAAAACAAAAGCATTAACTTCTCTTCAAACCTCGGACAGCTGTTCGGCCGTCGTTGGTTCTTGATCGGCGGCAATATCATTTGCTTGATCGGCTACATTGTGGCTGCCACTGCCAATACGACAAAACAGCTTGTAGCGGCCATGGTGTTACTTGGATTCGGTGGAGGTCTCTGTGGTTCGTGTTCCTCCTCCAGACAAAAATCAGTCTCGACACAATCTTTTCTGACAGTTTTTGAGGCAGAGGTCGCCATGTGGGCGATCCCCGAGCTTCTCCCCAATAAATGGCGCCACATCGGGGTCGTTATCGCAGACACGTGTGTGTTTTTTGCCGTGGTCGTTGGTCCCATCGTCGGACGTATTGTCATCGACGACGGTGGTAATACTTGGCGATGGGTGTACATCGCTGGTGCAATCGCGACCTGTGGCTCCGGTCTAGGTCTTTACTGGTGCTACTTCCCGCCGGCTCATCCGCGTGGAGTGCCCTTCTGGGAGGCCATTCACGGCATGGACTGGGTGGGCATGTTCCTTTTCACCGCTGGGTTTGCCATCACCATGTGTAGGTTTTTTTTTTTTTTTTGGCTCTCTTGTCCGTCCTGACTCCAAGTTTTCTGTAAAACTCTGACTCTATACCAGCGGGCATCATCAACACGACTTACATCGACGCCTCCAACGTCCGTGTCATCGCCACTCTTTGTGTTGGATTTGGCGTCATGATCCTCTTTGGCCTCTGGGAGCAGTTTGGAACCATAACATACCCGCTCTGTCCCACCCATGTCTTTACCAGAAACCACGGGAGGACTTTTACTGCGCCCTTTGTCGTGAGTGATTCCCGTCTCATGAGTAACTCCCATTGCTTGCTAACCAGGAACCCCTTTCTTTTTGGGTGGCAGGTGGGCATTGTCCTCGGAATGGTTTACTACGCTATTAACGTGAGTTTTGATCCTTCCCAGCCTTTTTCCCCCCAGCGCTGCTGACAGGCAAAAATCAGATCATTTATCCAACGTGCATCAACGTCTTTTACGTCGGAGCGGACACTCCGAGAAGTGAACAGCTGGCGCTCACTCTTCCCGGAAACCTGGGTCTAACGTTTGGCGGAGTCTTGCTGGTCATCTTTGGCGAGCGGCTTCGCCACTTCCGACTTCAGCTCAATGTGACTTTGGCTGGGACAGTCCTCTTTGGTGGCCTCATCGCTGTCGTGACGCCCGACAACAAGGGCACCATCATCGCCTTTACATTCCTGGAACAGATGTTTTACGGCTGGTCGGTGTACCTGTGCTACACGTACGTGCAACAAGGGGTTGACCAGATCGAGCTGGGCATTGCCGGCGGCCTCTGCGGCGTCATGAGGTTTGTCGGAGGCTCCCTCGCTCAGGCCATTTATACGACTGTCCTGGTCAACAAACAGGGATCCGAGGCACGGAAACTGATCCCTCAGGCTGCTCTCGCGGCCGGACTTCCTCCATCCAGCCTCGACGCCTTCATGGCGGCCTTTCCGACCAACACAACACAACTGGGTCAGATCACGGGGGTGGATACCGCGGTGCTGGCCGCGGCTGGGGAGGCATTCCAGCTCTCATATGCGCACGCGCTCAAGATCCTTGCTCTGGTGTCAGTCGCGTTCGGCGGCCTGGCAATTGCGGTGTGTGTGACGGTGGAAAACATCGACCCGAAGATGAATGACCAGATTGAGGTGTTTCTCGAGAACGACAAGCTGGCGGACAAGAATGTGTACCACTGATCAATCTGTTCCGTTTCGCCCGCACGGCGGCAGAATCGCAGTATCATAGTCGTCCCACCCCATGAACGTCTCACATGGTTCTGGTTCAATCTGCTGCCCCTAAATAATACGCCATTATGCGGATTTTCATTGCTGTTTGAGTTTCCCTCTCTTTGGAGCCTTTCCTCCTTTCCTAAAAAGGGGACTTGACATTCTCGGCTCCCCAGCCCATTGTGCTGTCTTAGCGAAGATGCCGAAAAAAAGAGGGCCGCGTAGAACCAAGACCCTAGATACCAGGCCACCAGCAAACGAAAACCTTGACTTCGTACCCATTCGCGGATATCGTCTCCCATCCGACTAACTGGCCTTTTGCTTGACGACGGATTCGCAGGGGCATCGTGGTCATGTACTTTGCCGACATGGCGCGAGAAAAGTGGCGGGTAGAAGAGTGTTGTATTTGATAGCATACTAACCGGCGACTGAGCCTTGATCCCATTGTCCCCTCTTATATGCTGCGAAGCCGGTTCTTGATCTTTGGGAGTCAATAGTGTCCACGTTTCGTTGTTCGGCTCTCGCTCCATCAATCATTTGTCGACTTTCAGAAATATCTTTGATAACCATTTTTTGCGAAACTTGGACGAAAGAATGCATCCTATCACGGCAAACATCAACCTCATACCAGGGAAATATGACGAGGTGCGTAAAAATCAATCCGTGGTGCCGATACTTTGTCGTCTCGTCGCTTGACCAATCTCACAATTTGGGACCAGTGGTTCGCGCATTATGAAGAGATGGGCAAATACGTCTGGGAGAAGGAACCAGTGACCCAGTCGTACTATTTTCTCGTGCCTGTCGAATACAAGGACAAGCCGTCACAGTCACCGTTCATCTGGGCGTTTGAGGCCTACGACCACTTTTCCGACATTGAGGAGACGCACATGGCGTCACCGGAGATGAAGGCTTTCATCCCCAAGATCTTCAGCGTCATGACCACGGGCCTGGACATTTGGCATTACAGCCACGTGGGCGGGTTCCTTGACAAGGCCGAGTCGTCCGGGTCGCGACCTGCTGCTGCTGCTGCTGCCGGCTTCGTCCGCGACACCAGAATCAGGGCACACCCGGGACACGCGGAGGAACTGCTCGAGCGGCTGCAGGGCCAGGCGACGAGGGTGCAGAAGGAGGAGCCCGCGACGTTCACATATTTCCTCATGCGGGGGATGGACAACAAGGACGAGTTCCGCGTGCTCGAGCGCTACGAGGACCGCGCGGCCTGGGAGGTGCACAATGGTAATCAGGCGCTGATCGACTTCTTCTTTGCGTCCAAGAATCTCATCGCGGGGGTCGAGGGGACCAGTTATGTCGAGACGGGGTATGGCTGGCTCCATAGGTGAAGCACATAATCATACAATTTACATTATCAAAGTGGATTCTTCAAAGACAGGCCTGGTGGGCCCCAGAGTGATATGACATGACGGGTTGAACGGTGGAAGACATGCCATAAGGAATTTACACCTGCGTTGAACTCGTCTCCATCCAGCTCGCCAATCCGCGTCTCTCGCCTGTTGAAGCTTGTCTCGCGCGTCTCTCTCCGCTACACCCGTGTTTTCAGATCCTCGGCTACCATTTGAAAAATACCTTGAACAGCCATCCGTGTTTGTTTTCTTTCCTATTCCACATCCTAAATCCCAAATACCATCGAGCGGGGTCTTCTCGACGAGCGGAGCAGAGGATTGTGCTCTCCCTGTCCCTCCACGTCGAATCGAAGACTTGGAGTAAAACACTGCTTTCTCCATCCATGTATCGAACAACTGACATTCTCGTACCTAGAAACCTAGAAAAGGGTAAACATGGGTCCTCATCATCCCCGCACCTTGCGTCGTTGCGCTGCGACCCAGTCGGCCGGCAGTGCGGCCCTCGTACTCTGTCAGACTCATTTGTTACCCCGCATGGGACATGTACCGACGGCAAGTATTAATATCACGAAAAGTGAGTTCAATGGAGGTGAGTGAGGACAGGTCTTGTCTGATACTCGTTACCGGGATATATCTTGCTAAAACAAAATCAATCTATTCGAGAAGAAAAGAAGAGATTGGCCGACTGAGTCTGAGTCCTCGCTACAAACCTCACTTCCTCCATCACTTATAAATCAAATACTTGTCGAGACGAAATCAGTGGTAGTGGGCAAAAATGATCTACGAACTCCGTGTCTACACCACGATCCCTGGCCGGTTGCCCAACCTGCTGGCGCGGTTCGAGAACCACACGCTCAGGATCTGGGAGAAGCACGGCATCAGGCAATTGGGTTTCTGGTAAGTACCCTCCCCTTTGTTTCTTTCCAATGGTCTGGCTCTGGCTCTGGCTCTGTTCCCCATCAACCGAAGAGTCCTGATGTCCCTGACCATCGGGAAACTGATTCTCGCCGACAGGACAACCCTCGTCGGCCCCGACGCCAACGACCTCACGTACATGCTGGCCTGGGAGTCGCTGGCCGAGCGCGAACAGAAATGGAACGCCTTCTTCAACGACCCCGAGTGGATCGAGGCCCGGGCCAACAGCGAAAAGGACGGCGCCATCAACGCCAAAGTCGCCAGCAGTTTCTTGGTCCCGACAAAGTTTTCGGCCATCCAGTGATTTAATTTTTCTCTCACACTTATTTCGGGGGATGTAGTGAGTTGTTTTCGGGTGAGGTGGATTGGATAAAGGAATGGGTTTCAGTGGTGTGGGGTGGGGACGAGATGTGCTCGAGGATGAGTCGAGGGTGGAGATGGGGGATGGGAGATGGTAGATAGATATGACCAGAAAGCCGTCGAGATTTCTCTTTTGACAGGACAACGAAGGAATGAATTACTAAGGTATCTATATAGGTAGCCATTCGCAGTACCCTGCGCCCCCTTTTGTTTTTCCCCCATATCGTGGCCCGATATTCCGTGTTCCATATTTTTCGTAGTTCAGGACCATGGCGGACTATTTACTAACCCGGCGTTTTCTCGTTTGATCGACTTGACGCTGTCGGCAACTTCGTTCTTGTCACCCATCGTTAGAGTAGGGATATGTATACCGACGAGCGTGATAGCGTCTTTGCCTGTCTGCATCTCTCCCCCTACCTCCCACTTCCCCTGTCACACTTGCTCTAATGTGTCCAATGTGTCCAATGCGTGTGTAGATGTGATCTAGCCTGCCGTCTGCTCCTCTACCTCCCCCCTCCCCTCTCCTCGTATGTCTGTGCGTGTGTTCTCGTCACAACTCATCATGCCGCACGGTCATCCTCTCTACCGCCTCCTTGACATCTCTCGGCCAGTACGTCTGAATGCCCCCACCGCCCCATTTCGTCGCGGGCAGGTCCTGTCTCTTCTCCCAAATGGCCGAGGAGGGCAACTGATCCCGCATCTTCTCGCTGACTTCGTCCACTTTATCCATGATCCGCATCAGATTCCCGCCCATGACGCCCTTCATCTCCTCGGGTGTCCAGCCCCGGGAGAGAAGCTCCGCGACCTGTTTGCCACGTATGATGTGTTAGTAGATATTTGAGACCAATAATCTTTGAAATTTTTGAAAAGTGGGGGCCAAGGGGACTTACGATGTTGGGGTACTTGCTGGCGTCTTCCAGGCCGTCGACCGAGATGTACATGCCGTCAAAGTCGGAGGCGATTCCCACGCGGTTCCGCCCGACGATGCCGGCGATGTGCTCAATGTGATCGGCGACGCGGGAGACGTTGGCGCCCGGGTTCGGCCCGATGAACGGCGGGAAGAAGATGGACTGGATCACCCCGTCCTTCTGTCCCGGTCCGTCGCCGATCAGGCGCAGGATGTCGTCGGGGACGTTGCGCGGGTGGTCCCACAGAGCGCGGGCGCCCGCGTGCGTCCACACCACCGGCGCCTCGGACAGGGCGATCACTTGTCTCATGGTCGCGTCCGACGTGTGCGCCAGGTCGACCAGGATGCCCACGCGGTTCAGTTCGCGCACGAGCTCCTCGCCCAGCGGCGACAGGGCATTGCCCTCGTGGACCGGGTCGATGGGCGTGCCCGGGCCGGCCGACGACGCGAACGCGCTGTGGCAGGTATGTGTCAGGGTCAAGTAGCGGACGCCCAGCTGGGCAAAGATGCGCAGCGCCCCGAGCGAGTTGCCCAGAACGTGGGTGCCCTCCATGCCGATGAGCGAGGCGATCTTGCCGGCGCGGAACGCGTCCCACACCTCGGCCGTCGACCGCGCGTACTGCAGATCGGCCGGGTGTCGGGCGATCATATTCTGGATGATGTCGAGCATCTCCATCGCGTCACGCAGGTGGTTCGTCGGTGTGTTGAAGTCGCTCCCCGGGTCTTCCTCTGTCACGTCGTAGCACGGCGCCCACACCGTCCAGAACGCTCCGCCGAGTCGGCCCTGCCGCATCCGGGGGATGTCGACGTGGCCTGGGAACGAGCCGTTGAGTTGGGGGATGGCATCGAGCGGTCGTCGATCTGCAAAGTAGGTGGGTATAGGTCAGTACGGCTGTCTTCAAAAGACCAGTGTATTCTCACAACAATAGTGGACAACAAGAAGAAACTTGACAATTGAACACGAAGAGGGAATAAATCCATCCACTTACTCAAACTCCTGATAATCTGCGGCAGATCAATGTGCGTGTCCAACAACGGACTCTCTTCCATCAACTTGACAGCCTGCTCTAGGAAGCCATCCGCGCTGCTCTGTGCGAGGGAGGTGGCCAAGAGGGGAATGACCGAGAGGACTCTGGCGAGGTGCATCTTGAGTGTCACTTTTTCCCACCTTTTTGCTATCTGCTGTACTAGCAGAGACGAAGTGTTGTACCGAGTAGACCTGTGATCAAACCCTAAAGCATTCAGTTCACCACGAAGGAGAATCTTATACCAACGAAGTTTTGTGAACGTACGAGGTACGAGGTAGTAGTCAAAACAAGGCCGCTCGTGTCCTCAATACACCGTCCGTATGTTGGTCCGTCTGCAGTCACTCAATATATGGGTAGGTAGGTAGATAGATAAATATATCAATCGGCCACATATCCGTCGACTTTTCCTACGGCCTTTCTCTCCTCACCTCGTTTGACTGATCAATGATATTCTCATGGTGGAGGTGATCTGCGTTCCAGCGCGGAGTAGGCCGTTGACGCCTAGAAAGAGTGACTAACAAAGCGGCCAATCGGTACCCGACACCCGTGCCGTTCAATGTCGAATCCCTGAATCCCTTGGGGAGCGCAGGTGGATTCTCTTACCTAGTTGTACGATCCCGAGGACACATTGTACAAAGCACAAGGAATTGCTGAGTCACAAACGGACGAAATTTGGAGCGTCTTGTTGTTTTTGTGGTCAATTGACTTCACACATGTCACCTATCTCTGCTGTTGATCTCTTTGAACAGGTGTTCCTATCTGTATAGACACTTGGTATTTGTGAATGCATGATGGGGACTGATATCTCGCCGTAAGTTAGTCTTTGAGCTTCTTGAAGGTGGTATTTCGGCTTTGAAGTATTTCATCCGTCAAGACCCGGGTTCGATGGCCGACCTTGTTCTACTGACGCCCCCGCCATGAATGTCGCTGCTCTCTCAAACTCTGCACCATCTCACAATGTGAATCTCCTTCTGGTGGTCTATTGTCCCTTATAGTCTCCTGGATCTGGTCTTGCACAACTCGTCAACCCTGGACTTCCGTTGAACCAGGATGACTGCGAATCGCCCATGTCGCTACATCTCGACAACTAAACGAGTCAGCCTCGTCTCGCGTGACTGGATCGCGTCAAATACTGACCAAGAGTGTCGTGGATGCCCTTTTCGTGCTGTTCCCTCTGCCGTTTACGCCTCAATGCCGTGTACTGTCATTGTAAGTTAGCATGTCTCGTCATCTTCTCACTTGGGAAATATACCTCATGCAGATTCCTTGGCTCGTATTTGGCCGGGTTACTCTCCGACGTACAAGCCGGCATGACCTATGATTTCATCAACATCGTGCAATGACCATGTAACTCTCACTTACCGGAACTGAAGCGTCCATGTTGAAGCTGAAGAAGAAGGGAATCGAGTAGCGTTCGACCCCCGAAGCGTTGCGGACACGGTGGACGGTGGACACGAATGTGTCGTTGGAGATTCTCTGCAGAAAGTCTCCTACGTTGACAACAAAGGTGCCACGAATGGGCTTTGCGGGGACATAGATCCCGTTCTTGTTGAGGATCTCAAGGCCGCCTACCATGTCTTGGTTCAGGATGGTAAATGCTGTGGATTGTCAGTGTCTGCAGTGTGTCTAAACGCTAGAGAAGCAAGTTGTTGAAAACATGTCATACTTTCAAAATCGCTGTGTGCACCGAGACCATCCAGGTCTGTCGAACCGGGTGCCCTGGGCGGATAATATTGCAGAATGATGGACACAAAGGGCGCCGTGACGAT